AAGTTAACCTACCTTGCTTATGTTTGAGACACGCCGGAAAGCCGTACCTTGCTCCACATGTTTCTACTTACATTGGACACTTTCAAGCACTGATTGACAATTCCTGAGGCAAAATAAAACCACTGTAGAAAACACTGTACGTTGAAAATTAATGAAGGTAATTTCAATTTTCTTTAATTAAATTGTTTAATTCATACTTGTATCTGTCTCAGACGCAGCGAAAATACTACATACATTTGATAAACAGTTTTAAGCGGGACTAATTGCACTAGACGATTTCGGTAACACAAACATCGGATTCCGATTATGCCCGCTAAGTATTATTAGAAAAAAAATGAATTTTGAAGTTTGTTTTAAAAATAAATCATGATTCGAATTGCAAAAAAATATAATTACTTACATACTTTCTTATTTTTGAGACGCATCGGAAAGTCACTCTTCTTGCTTCCCAAATGAAAACGTTTCCTTTTTCGTTTGAAGAAATTGAATCACCGATTTCAAATTTTTGAAATATAAACAAAAAGAAGATACTAACAAATAAATGGACATGAACAAAAAACAACAACATAATAGCATAACGATATATGCAGTTCGTGTCCAATAATATTGAACGAAATATATTTACAAAATACGAAAGTTACAAAGAATGAAACGACTTTGACCCGGACTGCAGATGCACAGTCATCAATATCAATCTAATACTTCATGTATACCGGTACTTAATTGGATAAATGTTCATTCAACCGCATTTCCTCCAGCAGATCCCGATGCCAACAATTCCAGAATTTGTGATCCAATTCCACCCCGAATCAATAATTTTAGGCCTAATATTAGTTAACTGCATTAGTAAACATATAACTGTAAAACATATAAATTGCCTGCAAAGAAACGAGAAAGCTGTAAATGAAGCCAAATCATTTATTAATTGCCGTTAGAATAAATGAATGTGTCAAACAGCCGAAACAACGAATAATTGGAAGACTATTCAAAATGTAAATCTGAATGCACTTACAACAAATATACGTTTTTCTTTATGTAATCAGATTCATGTTAAAGGTAATATATACAAGAAGACAATACAATGACACTGACGGAATCCTAACACTTGGTTTGCCCAAGATTTTATACTATATTGACATGCGGTTGTGCACTTATAAATGTAAATAAATTAACATTTACCTTATTAATCCTTGATCGCCTCTCTTCAACTAACTTCCGTGAGTTTTCGAGTCAGGAATTCGGTAACAATCATCGCTTTAATACTATGTTATGGGCTAACTGTATTATTATTTAGTTTATCTTTAGCTGTTAGTCCATGTATCTTTCGTTTTCATTCCACTCGACAGTTCCACTTGGTAAACAATTAAATTGTAACAAATTTTCAATTGTTACTTTGCAAAAATTACCAAATATGCAGAATTAATTTTTGATTGTGGACTTCAACCTTTAAAGGAACACAGGTATTTTTTCACCCTCATAAAACCCGCTATTCCAAATCTATTTTGCTATTATATTTACAAATACATTCGACCTCAATTATTGCGCCGATGCTATAAACCGGAAATAATATCAATATTGCTTAACCAAAATTTCCCCCATCGAAAACGAAACGACTAGTTTCTGATTGGTTAAAAATAAACCTTTCCGAAAAAGTAATGAAAAAAAAGATAGAGAATTTATCCACAAAACGGAGAAATTCCAAAAGCCTTCAAATAACCCAACTTAGACCAAAATAGCACAGACAGAAAAGAGAAAAAAAAGGGGAAAGGTAGGAAATATAGGGGGCTCCTGCAACTATCCCATTCAAAGATTCCCAATAGAACACGTATACCTTCTGATTAATATATTGCTTTATATCGGAGTCCAGATTATAGAAGTCTAATATATAACTAAAGTAAGTAGTCGACGGACTAATGGATAAGTACGCAGATAGAAGACCATTCATAGCAGCAACACAACTTTCTACGTTATATATCAACAATTGTAGTGTAAACCTAGTTTAACTGCTATAGTATAACTGTGAAAGATATGGAAAAAAACGCTACTTGGGCCCACGTCTTGACATGACAAAAAAGGTTTGGATATAAACAACAAAAGAAGTTACAGTTGAAATAATTTAAAAAAAATTAGGCAAATAATATCACCTGTACTATATCCGGAACATCCCAACACAAACGCATCTCTGTCGAATTTTTATTTCATCAATGATGTAGATCTTATTTATGATCTTATTTAGTTTAACTGCATTAGTATAGCTATGAAAAATGGCTGAAGATACAAGCGTTGGATTATGAAAAGCGACGTAAGTATGCAAATAAACCATTAAACCTAAAAATTCACAAACATGAAATCAGTGCTCACCTGACGGCGTCAAATTTGAAAAGACAGTCTGAGCGCAGACAAATTTTGACGTGGCAAAAAAAGTGTGATTATAATAAAGAAACAAAGAGGGTGGAGGAGACCGCAAATTGAAGATGCTTTTTCATTCGTTATTAGGAATCACATGTCTAGGTGACGTAAGAAAATAGCGAAACAACAAAAAAATGATGGAACATGCTGTTTGGCGCAGTAACCTTTTCCCACTACAGCCATATAATAATCTAGATTCTAGATAAATTTTATTCTAGACAATATCCAGTATGCTACATTATTGAGGAAAAAAAATAAATGGCAGAAAGATATTCTACCGACGTTAAGGTGTGGAAAGCAGGAAAAATTATGCTGACCAAACATACAGCGATTATAACAAAATCAGACTATTTTTTTTTTCATATGATGTTTATTCAATACTTGTCGCTTCGAACAAGACCCTATGCAAGCATAAACAGATACCCCACGATATGCTATGAGTTACTTTCAATTAAGTTTAATTTGTGGATCTATAACCGACCCGCCACGTCCTGGTCGATTGTAGATTAGAACTATTACGTATTCGTTGAAAATACGTTGATGACATTAAATCAAATGCCATATCAACAGTTTTTATTTCACATAAGATTAAGCTTCATTGCAGCTAAAATATTGAAGAATACATGTCTCTAATACAGTGTTCTTCAACCTTTTTTATCGAAGTATACCTTTTACAGTTTTTCAAGAACTTTGTATACCTTACAAATACCAATGTTTATTTAAGGCTCAAATAAACAATAAATTTTAAGCACATATTATACTGCAATATCATCATGCAATCTAATAGGCTAGTGACCGCAAGTTATAAATTTGACTGACTGCCTTAGCGTCGACGGGAATAATGTTTGACTACCGGTAAATCAAACAAAGTGCATGGCATCCGAAATCACCAACCCAGACACATGCCCGTATTATCTATATAATTTGTGATGTAACAACGTGCTCACGTCGGTTCTTAGCGTTAATTACATTTTACATTTCATGTGCGCCGCGTTTGCATTGTTGTATCCAATTGAATATTTTATAGGCTGTACATCTTTCGTATACCCTTCATCAGTTGTATACCCAACTTATGTTCTGGTATACACTTGGGTATACCGTATACCCGGTTGAAGAGCACTGCTCTAATATCTGCGAGACCAACTAAATTGTGGTGTAACAATGTTTGCTAACTAGATGCGAACACGGCGCGCCCAATTTGACACGCAACGACCGCTTTTTGTCAGAGAGAGAGAGAATGATTTATTTTCCGAATATATCAAAAAATGTAAAATTACAATAAATGAAAAAGAACAATTATAGAATATATTCGGGAGGGGGCGAGCAAGACTGCAAGGTCAACTACGTCGATCGAGCCCTAAAAAAAGAAAAATTCTTATTATGACAAGACATTCGGGAGTCAGCCCTATTTTGACACCCCCAATATGACTTCTATGCTACCAACCCCTCTTTATCTGGGAGATATCGCGTGTATCTACCAGACAGACAAACAAACAAACAGACATACCTATCAACATACTGTCGATAAGTAACAAAGCATCATCCGAACTGCGATCGTTGTATTTAGTACTGTATATATTCACGTTCAATATACAAGAGGAATTTTAGTTTATACTAGGTGGACAGGAACAGTTTCAACAATACTTATAAAGAACAATCTTTACGTACGCCATAAAAAAAGTATTTTTGCATTACAAACTGCAGAAAGGTGATCATTTTGACACGTTGGAGATCACGTTTGACAATGAGACGTCAGACTCCAGTCACCACTCTCCAATTCGCACGTGTTTTGTTACGGATGACTTAATACAGTTTTACCGGCTGAAGAGATTTTTTGCATTGTGAAAAAAAAAGATTTTTATAAAATAATATTTGAGTATAAGTCAACAGCTTTTAGTCAGTCAAATTGTCAGTAATGTAATTTGTTTATTTGGATATTAGCATGCTCTAGGCTAGTCAACTTTTCGAGTTGCTTTGACCTCACAGCTCAATCTAATAACCTAAAAAACAAAAATAGTCTATCATGTCTGTCACTTTTGCAGACATGACACTAGTATGTACACGAGGACAGTAGATTGAGAATACAAAGCATGGTACTCCCGTAGTATGTGCACCAGGTTAGGGTTAGGCCATAATTTCAGGTGCAAATAGTCTACTACGGGAGTCATTTGGCTAGTCCATGTAGTCCCCAAACTCGTAATACAGTAATAGGCCTAGGCCTAAAATAAGGAAAATTGGAATAAAATTATGCCCTAAACCTAACCTAGTACGAATACTACGTTCCGCTATTTGCCATCTTGGTGCTCATACTACGGGAGTGCCCAAATCATCAATGAAAATCATCTTTTAATATTTTTTGTCCTAAAATTTAGATAAAATGTCTGTCAAATGGTGATGGCTAGCAATTTTTTCTTGTTTGACAATCATTCAATTTGGAATTGCGGGTTTATGCTTCATGTTGATGCAAATAAAACTCCGAGAAATGAATCAAATTGGTCTCTATGTAATTGATAAATTGGATGATGATTAGATAATTATTATTATCTTGCTTATCTTTCACATTATTTCTAACATATATGAATTTCCAATCTTTTCATCCAGCGTACAATCAAATTTTTTTACATAGCTTTTTGAGCTGAAGATGTCTTTCCGTGGTCGGGGACGTGGTGGAGGTGGATTCAACAATCGTGGAAGAGGAGGATTTCGTGGCGGAGGACGAGGAGGTGGTCGAGGTGGAGGAAATTTCAACAGATATTCAGACGAACCACCAGAATGTGTCGTTGAACTTGGTAAATTGATGCACACTTGTCAAGATGAACTTGTATGCAAATGTACGAATGAAAAAATACCATATTTCAATGCACCAGTTTACTTGGAAAATAAGTCAAGAATCGGAAAAGTTGATGAAATATTTGGACCAATTCGCGACTTTTGTTTCTCCGTCAAACTAGCGGATAATATGAAAGCGAACTCTTTTTCTAAAGAATCAAAGTTTTACATTGATCCAATGAAGTTGCTTCCGCTTCAGAGATTTTTACCAAAACCTCCCGGGTCTGTGCAAAAGGGTGGTAGAGGAAGAGGTGGTGGACGTGGAAGGGGGGGTGGCCGTGGCGGAGGATTTCGAGGGGGCCGAGGTGGTGGTGGTTTCAGAGGAGGCCGGGGTGGTGGAGGCTTCAGGGGTGGCCGAGGTGGGGGATTTAGGGGTGGTCGTGGTGGTTTTCGGGGTAGAAGGTGATCTCTCCATTAGTGTGGAAATTTTTTAATCATTGCACTGACATGGTGAATTGCCAGAACAAAAGGCATTATTCCCATTTTTGCATTCATAAATTCAATCATACAAGAACATTGAAATATTTTTTTTCTACAATGTATTGACCGAACTGCATTTCCTCATCAAATTTGCTTATTTGTACAAATGCAAAAGTCATATCAGCCAATTATTTGGGGAAACTTTATGTTATTAGTTGTCTGTTTTAAGCATATTTGGATAATGGTGGAACATGCTTCTAGATCTTTTTTTGATATGCTGAATATATGGGTAATGCGACTTCTATTTCTAAATCATAATAAGAGTTATTCATTGATATCACGGTTATGGAGTCTTGAACAAAATCATGCATAGGCACAAATAATAAATTGAACTAATGGTTTTCTGTTCTGCTTGGATATATGGAAAGTATCTTTTTAGGTAAATATCAAATTTTTTCAGTTCAAATGTGAAACTGCCATTTTTAACATTATGTCAATAAAATTTTCTCTTATTGATTGTGTATATAGTGGTGTTATTGATTGTGGGTAAAAAGTCTGGCATTATAGATGATAGTATTGCAGTCAGCACGAATCGCTGCTGTTGAGAATTGCTGAATTCGAAAAAATAAGACTGAATCATACTAAAAGAGTAATAATTAACTTTCAAGCCTAATTACCCAACTGACATTTTTTCCCACCAACTATAAGTTAAAGTAATCAATTAAAGATGCTGCTTATCAGGTAGCTGATAAATTGTGCTGTGTAAAGCTAGTTTTGAGAGAATGGATTACTTCGGCTGCAGATATCTGCCTCCATATTCAGAAGTTGTTTTACTCTTTCTAGATGCTATTCAGGCTTTGTTGCGTCAAAAATCAGGTTCATGCTTCTTAAGAAAGTAACATATTGTAGATTGCTGCCGTGATCCACCAAACTAATACAATGGTGTTATTGAACTTATATGTATCGCCAATAATCATTGTTTGCTCTCATATCCCTGAACTCATTTTATCAATATTATATATAGCCAGCGTAAGTTACCCCTGGGTCACAAGTCTAGCTATGAGTGAAACTGAGAAATAAAGCTTCCATCTTTTGTTCAACAAATATTTTGAAAATAAAACTAGTATTGTATGACATATTATTGACAACACCAAATCCTGTACGGCAGTGGTCATCACATCAACAAAATACAATTTAGTTTTAAAATGAAGAAAATTTATTATAACAATTGCATATTAGCTGATGAAGATCATGGTAGCCAGAGAAGTAAAGATGTTGAAAATATGTACCAGACAGAAAGACTTCATATAATTAGATAACATATTATATTTAACAGTGGGCATATTTAGACAAGCACCAAAATTGTTGACAAAGCATAATACAGAAAGGATCATTAGACCATTATAGCTGTTCAGAGTGAAAAAATAGTAGAAAAAGAAACAATTGAAACAGACGATAGGTAATGATGCATTACAGTGACAATAAGATAAAATCATAGAACTTTTTTGCATTTTCAAAAGAAAACACATTTCAAACGACACTTAATTCTAAAAAAGCACCCAACAAAAAACTAGTAGGGCAATGCTAAAAGTATGGCAATGAAATGTTCATGGCTTTTTGTTACATGCTTCAGGTCAAAATCGCTTCTTGTTAAAGCACAAACAGCTTGAAAGTGAACATATCAGGCAGTCAGTTTTTAATTGAAACCCTTATGATAATAAAGGAGTACAAACATCTAATTGTTCTTTATCTTCTGATGGACTCTTTATCATTTTAGTTATAGATTCCAATAATTTTTTTCCGTGCATCGAATTGTAGATTTCATGAGGTAAAATCTGAAAAATTTGGAAGTAGTAAAAAGGGTGATAGGAATGCACAAAGAAATATCTACTATGAGCTTTTTTCATATGTATCCCAGTTATTCCAAGGGATGTGGAAAGCTGATAATCACCTGACAAACCATGGCCTCTAGTTCGTTTGAGACAGGGGTCCCCAAACTGGGGTACATCAATGTACACCACCTGGAGGTATATCAATGATATTCATCCCTGCCTCAGAATATTTTAACACCTGGAGATTGCCCCACAAATACAGTAACTACAGAATTGACATTTGCAATTGACTTAGTTTGTGCAATCACAGCATGTAAGGCAATTTTTGGAGTAAACCAAGCAATCTATGAATTGTTCAAATGATACCCATTAAAATTAAGTTTTGGAAACCCTAGGTAAGGGCATGCGTTGATGGTGAAAGTGGTAACGTACCTCGCACATAATTATCACCGATAAGATTCAAACCCACGGATGGTAATCAGTTAAAAGTACAGTCCAAGAATTTTCCTTACGCTTAACACGATGTTCAACAGTCGAAACAAATACAACGGAACAAATACAAAAAATCAATTGCAGGTGGCAAATGAACTCATGTGCTCTTGCAAGACATCAGTAAGACAGGAATTTTATTCAGTGTAAGTGAAACCTATTAAAACTCTAAGATCAAAATAAGAATAGTCAGGGATCCATTGCTATACAAGCTACAAAATGTTACTACAATAGAAAAAACCTTTAGCTCACTTGTTCTACATTGATTTTCATTCCTTTTTGATATTGTTCTGTTTCGATCAAGTTGAAATAGAGTGGTTCAAATTCATCTATCAGTTTGAAGGTTGGAAGGCTCAACTTACTGATTATTTCAGGTATATCATGCTCAGAAGAATAGTCAAAATATGCAACCTGAAAATTAGAATCTCATGACTTCAAATTTGCTTTATTGAAACATTTGAGTTTGAAATTTGATGAAGAAATAAACAAAGATTGTACAGTATTCAAAAAAGGTATAAAGACTTGCTCAGACAAGGTTGTTCACCAAGGGTCGTTTGTTTTATTAGAAAATTTACTCAAAGCCAGGTCTCTCATTCAGAAGTAGATGAGACTCATCTCTAGGCAAAGTTATGAGAGGCCATTAGAATGCAAAAAGCTGAAAAAGCTGTATTAAAATTAATGACATGGTGGTACAGAAAACGTCATGAAAGTACCATGTTTCCCTGAAAATAAGACCTTGAAAATCTCGTAATTCTCAACTTTGTAATTTTGTTTTTGATGAATGGAAGTAAAATACATTCCCCAAAAATAAGTCCTAGTGTTATTTTTTGAAAGAAAATTGAAATAAGTCCCAGTCTTATTTTCGGGGAAACATGGTATAGCATGAGAATTGTCACACTTGCTTAATATATCGCAGTAATTTATATTGAGAATCCTGACAAAAATATATTAAATAATTTCATCAAATGAAAATGCTTCTTACCAAAAACTTTCCTGTAACATCTCCAAATGCCAAATTACTTATAAATGTGATGATTCGACAAAACATACAATTACAAATATCTTCATTGTTCAAACGTGAAGTATTGTGTGTTTTTGAGCATAAAATGATGACCTGAAAAATTGGATGTCAGAAATTACTCTCACTACAATATAAAATAAGGATTAATCAAATAATACACAATATTTGAAATATAAAATCCATGCATCCATGCACAATAAACTGGCGAATCCTATTTCCATCCTGGAATAGTAATAGAACGAAAAGTCATGGCACCATATTCCCACAATCATTTCATGGTAATCAATATTTAAAATCTTTTTCGTAAGCCTTTTAGAATCTAGGTAGTCCCAAAATCAATAGTAGACCTCAGGTATCATTGCATGCTTGTCCAGAGCTTTATGCGAAACAAAAAATATAATTCAAACCTTTTGAGCTTTGTTTATTTTTTCAATTAGATAGTCAAACGGGTTTTCTGCAACTATGCTTGTGTCGTCCCATATAGGTGTGTCCACTTCCAGACCGAGGTCTCCTTTGAGAAGGGAACAGAAATCGGACACAACTCTTCTGTGAGCTTTGCAATCTATAGCAGTTACCACAAAAACATTGACACCTTCAGGTAGCTCCTCTATCTCAGCATCTGGAAATTTTCAAAAATGGTTAAAATGAATAATATATTAAAGATTGAATTAGTTGATTTTTTGAAAAATCTAAATTGAATTGTTTAGAAACAACATATTTCTTGTTTCTTGTCCTCAAAGCATTTTCACGGGTGTGCCATTTATCACTGTATAGTTCGGTTTACCGCCAGTTTACCAGAGGCATGATATCTGTCCCTTGGGGATGAGAATGCTGAATTGTTAAACACAATATACAAAGATAAAGCACAGTGGAAAAGATAGCAAAAAAGTCACTAAGCTGTTAACCTGACACGGCGTAAATATTTCGTATTAACAGTGATTGAAATATTATTTGGTAATGTAACATTAATCTCGTTCAAATATCGCGTTATGTTATTGTTATATAAACAGGAAAAATTGAAAATAATACACTGGCTTTACTTTTTTATATATATGAACATTACTTGTCAGCAATTCTAGAATGGAGGTGAGAAATCTGTTGATAATTCCAAAGGGGGCCAAGATACAAAAAAGATATAATTTACTGGTTTACAGTATTAACCCTAGAATACGAAATTCTCAATAGGTTTCAATTTTGTTTTCTCTATTTAAACAGATGTAAATAATAGACATTACTTTGTTGTCGAGTGATAGCTTCACATAAATCTTTTCCATGTTTTGTCTTATAAATTCCTTGTGATGTAACCTGTAAAATATTATGAAATATTCCTTATTCAATTCCAATAATAATACCGGTAGTCTTTAATAAAAGTCTATTAGTCGATAGCCAAACTTCAAAAGAGCAAATACTGACAGCATTTAGTGGCAACTATATATACTATGCCACTGTCCTTAACAAAAACATGATCGAAATTTTCATTGGACCAGAATATCACATCATATCATCCTTCCGCGCAAAAATGCAGTTTCACTTTTAGTCTTTCACTAGGTCAGGGGTTGCAAATTGAGGTTTTTGATTAGTACTAGGGTTTTATGTATTTCAATTTTTTGAAGTGAAGCATGACTCATGTGTATGTCTGACATCACTCTGACTAACACAGCTTAAATTGCAAATGTCATTTGCAACAAAAACACTATTGCCTGGTATGAAGAGTTCGAAATGAAAACTTTTGTTATTAGATTTTGGGATACCATTGGAAATTAATAATTTTTAGTCGATATGTTACCACTAAATTTTAGTGTAAGCTTCACAAACAAAAGAGCAATGCTCTAATACAGCGATTCCCAAACTATGGGTCGCGACCCACTGGTGGGTCGCAAGAGGAATCTCAGTGAGTCGTGAAAAGATGTAGAAAGCTTTGATCAATTATACTGGTTATTAGGATCGGTGGCAAAGCAAATTTAAAAGCAAATTTCGAAATAAACTGCAACTTTTCAATTTTTTACGTCTAAAACTATCTGAAATTGAAATAAATGGCAAGTCTATTATGGAAAATAGCAAGAAACAATCTCATCTTTCTCACTAGCTTCATTGAAAATTAAATTCGAGAAATTAAATTTGTTTCCTTCATCAATGTTTTCTTAATTTATCAAAGTTAAATGGGTCGCCATAAGCTGTGGTAAAAAATAGTGGGTCCCAACTCTAAAAAGTTCGGGAACCACTGCTCTAGTATATGATTTGGAGTGGAGTGGAGAGGAATCATGAAACAAATAAAAATAATGGCTTTCCAGCAGTGGTTGGTTCTCAATCTTTTTTTTGAAATATATTATAGCTGAAATTACTTTAAAATTGAGAAAGCTGCACTTGACCGCCATCAACATGATGCTTCTCACATATACAATTAATATTAACTGTTCAATATTGAATACAATCAATAAATTTTACAAGATAAAAGAATCAATAGCTTTTACTTTTTGTTGAAAAATTACTAATAATCCTCACCTCTTCTATATAAATTTTCCTCCCATTGTGTTGATATTGTTCTGTATCAATCAGATGAAAATAAAGTCTTTCAAATTCTTCCATCAATTTAAAAATCGGAAAGTTCATCTTGTTCAATCGTACTGGTATGTGTTCTTCAGAACTATAGTGGGCAACCTAGGAAGTTTTTCAAAAAAAAAAAAATTTTTTATTCCAGCAAAAGAAAACGTACTTTTTGTACTAGCTGGTTATGTTGCAATAAAAAGTGCTGTTGTTTGTTGAACTTTGCATAGTAACCCAATACTTCTTAAAAACCGTTGCGTCTTATAGTCTAATACGCCTTCTATATTATTCTATTCTGATAGGGTCATCCTTTCGATACAACAATAGCTATATACAAATCTTACCAAGAATTTTCCAGTGTCTTTCCCAAAAGCCAAGCTGCAAATATGTTTCACAATGGAACAAAATCTACAACCACAAATATCATCATTCCCCAAACAATTTTTGTTTTCTTTCGAACAGAGGATGATGACCTAAAGAAGACGATATAATATTACTCTCAGCATATTACGGTATATATAACTTTAACTGTATTCTTCATCTCCCACAAGATTTTAACACTGTTTTCAATATTATGTGACAAAAGAAGGATTATTAGAAATATTTTCAAGGCTCAAATAAACAACTTCCAATGCTAATACCCCCCCCCCCCCCCTGCTCTTGGAGAAAGACGTGAAAATTTCTTACAACAACATACAAAATTTATTTTTATATTTAAACTTTATTTAAAATATCTAAACTACAAATTGTTGACTTAATATATATTTTTTTTCATCTCCGTTTCAACAATGTCGGCCACCATTAAATTTGACACTATCATAGCGAATGGGAACAGGAACTATGATATCACAGTCAATCACTCAATGCAGCCATTTACATAAGAGATTTTCTGAAAGCTGCCCTTGCATAAAAAACTTCGCCCAGCCATGTGCTGAAATCATGTATTAACCATATCAAATGTTGCTAATTTGGAATGTAGTCAAATATTCCATTTCAGTCTCCTTGTTCATACCTTACTTGCTCTGTTTAGATTCTCAATGAAATATCTATCTGGATACTCAGCAATTTCTCTGCTGTGCCACAATGCTGTATCAACGTCCAGGCCTAAAGTAGCTCTGAGAAAAGTACAGAAGCTTGACACGACTTTATTGTGCGTATCCCAATTCAACGAGGACATGACAAATATCTTGTTTTTTTGTTGTAACATACAAGGTTGCTGTTCCATATTTTCTGTATGTAAACAAGAGATGCTTAAATATATGAACACAAAAGCTAATACAAAGTAGCATGGTTTACAATCTTTTGCAGTACCGATACGGTAGCGCAGTCTTCCAGACTTGAACTGACCACCGGATCATGATAGACGCAAACTTAGAACTCCTACATAGTGCACAATTTTTAGGTTTGATGATGTCATCACACAAAAAATCGAATCTTATAGAGCAGTGGTTCTTAAAGTATGGGTCGCGACCCAAACATGGGTCGCGGAAGGTTTAAAAATGGGTCGCGACAAGGTCGTCAATGCAAGGGCAATCTAAGAGGAGAAGGACGAATTTTCAGCTTTCCCAATGTTTCAATTTTGCTTCTAAACTCTGGTATTTAAAAATAATGAAATATAAAATTTCATTCACGGAAAGAACTGTCTTGAGCTCATTGTTACATCACAATTCTGATATGCCAGTCACGTGTATTATTTTTATGGTATCGGTAACCAATAACCATGCACGTCGCATTCGTTGTGTTGACCGCGTGGAATGTCGTCTTAGTGGATTAGAATAACCAAAAATGGGTGTCTTTTTGGTAATGTAAATTGTAACAGACGACGCAATGAAAAAAAGCTCGCTTCTCGACATTAGATTATTCAATATCTAGAGAAAATGTGACTTCATGTCGAGGCACCATTTACCGCGAACGAAGCAGTGCGTGCAGATTTGATGAGTAAAAAGTTGTATATTGCGAGAGATACCGAAGGCCAGCTAGGATGTCGTGTTTGCGACGGACAGCGGGCGCCTTTTCTGCTACAATTCGCGACAAGGCACTTGTGCGAGCGAGGATATTTGGCACTGACGGTTAACAAAACTAAGCTCGCAATCGCCTCGATACCCGTGACAACTTGCGTATTGCGTTAAGTAAAATAGAGCTGTGTATTGAAGATATAATGAAAAGGAAATTTCAGTTTCATCAATCTCACTGAGTCAATGGACTGTTTCTAATAAATAGTTGTCTGTATTTGAGTCAAACTGCACTAACACATTTTGCGTTATTTAGGATTGGGTCGCGAGTATTCATAAAACTCAGATTTGGGTCGCGCTCGAAAAAGTTTAAGAACCACTGTTATAGAGCCTGCAGAAATATTTGACATAAATAAAAGTAATAGCCTTCTACCAACACAACAATCCTCAACCACTGAAAATTTCAAATCAATTGGTCCATTATTTACAGAAAATTTTCACACAACTGAAATAACCAAGAATACCAACAACAATGATTAATCATAGTTTTTGAACATGAAAACAGGCTAACCAGGATTTGCATGTTTATTCTGGGAGAGAGGAAAGTCAATCAAAACCCTGAAATGGACCCCTTGCCTCTCACCCCTTTACCAGTCCACAATGCTGGGTCATTTCAATTTGCTATTTTGTTTTCGTTTAATGTATGCAAAGTTCACTGATCCCCAAAATCTTTCTTGAAGTCCATGTATCAAGATTAGTCAAATGTCAGTTAAAACATGTCACATCTCAAAATAAACCTAAAATAATAGGGATATGGTTTGGGCGTCTATTGTCCAAATATATGAAATTAGTATGTAAAAAGTCTTATGCCTAAATAGTATAGTAAAGAAGGTACTCATATTTATGATTATAATTCTATTTTTCATAAAATTCAATTAGGATTAAAATAATTTTTTACCTTCTTCAGTATCTGGCATTATCATTTGAAGAGCATCAACTGTTAAAAAGAAGGCAATGCAATTATCTTAAAAAAAGACCTTTAAATTTAAAGTGATTTAGGCAGAGTTTTCTTTTCAAATTGTAGGGTATTTTAAATTGTTTAACTCCAAAATTGAGAGATAGGGGAGACACTTATAATGACAATGACTCTTATCTCAGTTATAGCAGGAATGTGGATATTCATTTCGTGATGATTCTCCAGTCAAACCTTTTTATACAAAACATTCTCACACAGCACACCACTGATATCTAATGTTATGTAAAAAGCTGCTATTTTTGGAGGGACTGTCATCTTTCCAGTTTGTCATTCACTACACAATTTAAATAAGCAATACAGGTATGTGTGAGTACATGAATGACCATTGATAGACACAATCTGACCTAGTAATATAAATACATTCTCACCATTATTATTGTCATTTGTTTTACAGCCATGTGATTTCTTTAATATTCGACGTCTTATACGTAGCCGAAGAATTATGAAAGAGACAACTAAGAACCCGACAAACACGAGTGATATCACCAGGGGCCAAACTATGTTTTGATTACTACTTTTAGATGATGCATGAATGGTGCAATCTAAAAAAATATATATCATTTTTCTAGGAGGATAAAAATGTTGTGGTTAAATCTTGATATAATTATATACCGCAAGTTATTTATTGAAATTCCCTTTACATATTGTTTAATTCAATCCCAGGTACGCGAAAGTAGAGTTAGCGAAAAACAAAAAAGCAATGGTCAAAGTTATTGACAAAAAATATCAAGCCACTTTCGTAGAGAATTTGCAAAGAAAATAATCCCTAACTTTTTCTACAATTGAGTATAGAAAATATAGAATCGATAGTCCATTTTAGAGCAGTGATATTACGGTGCTTATATTGAGATCTATGACTTGAATTTTATCTAAACTGAGATGACTCTTATGACAGACAACTTTCATCTGAAAAAGAGATTTCAAATATTTTGATTCTTGAAATTTAACCAGGAACTTCGCACGAAACCATGTATTATATATCCAACAAAAGTTTAATGGATTCAATATGATTCGAACAAAACCAAACTTACCATAGAAGTTGACGATTGTATCATGAACGGCATTTCCATTTTTGTTTCCCATGAGTTTGATATGACAAGGCAGTGATAAATTAAAATGTGATGGAAGACTGAGATTGTACAATACACCACATGGCTGGAAGAAAAAATCAAAAATTGAAATTACATTAAATGGGATTATTCTTCGCAACAATATGTAATTAAAGAAATTACTACAAAAAGAATAGAGATACTGAACTAAAACAAATTTTTGAGTCTTGTGACCAATCAATCATCATATTCACAATTGTAATGATAACCCAATAACCTATAATTTCAAAAACATGAGTCCGTCTTAAGTCTATTATCTTATTTTTCTGCAGAATTTTTTTTAATAAATGTGGGGAAAACTGTAACACAAAAACAACCAAAAAATAAAATGATAAAATACCTTTAGGTCCGTGAAATATTGATAGATGTTATTACACGCTGTATGTTGTTCGTATTCCTGACAGAAAACAATAATTGCACGATTCCCATAATGATGTGATACTTTGTAGGAAAATTCAACACTCCTATTTTCACAATGTATCTTGGATGCACCATACAACACATTTTCACCACCTGTGTATAGTTAATATTATAAAATAGTAAAATACCAAGAAGAAATGATTAGGAATAAGTATGAAATACTTTGGTTGTCAGATTTACAGGAATGTATGTAAGATGATACAAAATAGGTTAGTTAGTAGTAAATAGTAAAATTATAATATACTCTTATAATAGGAAACAAATATGGAAACCCTCAACCAATAATAAATTATCCAATCTGTTTATTGTATGATGTTTTACAATGCCTTTCACTCCAAGCAGGACTCAGCACAACGAGCAACCGCTGGCTGATATGTGAGAAGCACCAGAATTTTTCCGGCTTATCATTGCATACATAATTTTTTACACCCTCGATGAAGTGATGGTATAGGGTTGGAAACAGATATTTAACCTGGGCCTACATATTCAAGTGGAAACTCTTTATTTACTATGTTTCCTTTTAAACAATATTACTAAATGTGGATACATCCATCGATGGACCTCAAACGTAATTTCCATACCTTGACAATCAGATACATCAAACATATGTGGATCATCACAATCTGAAGAATAGGAAATAATTTATTAATTGGTTTTAGAAAATTGAAAATTTTTACTACATTTTTCCCTGGCAGTTGCTTCGAATTAAAACTCTTACATAAGTGAAAACCACAATGAAATTAGAAATCTTTAAAACAGGTTCTGAACATTCTTGAGAATTTTGAAAAATGAAAAAAGTTTACATGTGAATATCTTATTTAATGTGAAGTGCTAGGCGGTGGGAAAAACCCTTGTCATCGCACTTGTGGTTACCCTGCGTACAGTTGGAATCTCTTGACCGTATAATTATGTGCGAGAAGATTGCTGAACTCCTCCCCATTGAAAGGTTGTTCAGTTGACCGCTGATCGGTTATGGCTTCCTTCACCATCGAGTCCACGCATGTAAAATAAATAACTGGTGAATCATTCCCCATCCCGGAGTGGACAGGTAAACATACGGAAGGCCATGGTTGGCGATATAGTAAAGCTGTCTTATTGACTTTCCTATCCCCTGGCAATCTTTGATGTATTTGAAAATCCTATCCTAAATGAAGGATCGCGAATGACATTGCTTTGCGAAAACTGGTAGAAGAAATGCCTATCAGTTCTATACTTTTCTGTTTAATCGCACTAAAAACTAACTGGATTACAGCAAATGCTTCAGATATAAATACTATATCATCTAACATTACATCAACATACCTGGGATATTGATGTGAAATTTCAAGCTGCTAAGTCCTGGCAGACTGTGTACTCTCACTTTGTATATTTCACCAGGCTTGACATAAGTGCCACTGTCCCGCCCATAGCAATCAAAAAAGAACGTGGGCTGAAAATATTGTAATTGGAAATAAAGTGGACTTAATTGTGAAAAATCATTTTCAAAATTACAATACTTGAAGATAAAATAAGTTGCTAGAAAGTGATTACTTATCATTTTTGTCAGTATTTGAAAGTGACCTTTAACCCCAAATTTTGCTGTGTTCATAATCCACATGCATTAGGTACAATTCTTTATGAGTTTCAATGAAAAATTTCCAACATCAGCCTGATATTTTGCTGACATTATGGTGGTCATTTTAGTCATTTGGCTTTTGCTTCGATATATTTCAACATTACTTTCTTGTTTCTATTCACCCTAGCTTTCAAAATGGAAATTCAAAATGAAATATAGGAAATCGCTGATAATTCACTATAATAAAAGATGTTAGTCTGGTGCATTCTCGCTAGTTTTACCTTCATTTTATGACCAAGTAGTTTGCGAGTATGTGCCATTGAAAAACATTTTGTATATGATGAGTTTTTATCGTGCTTCTCCATTTTGTTTTTGTTTTTCACTTCAATGAAATAACCAAAATCACTCATGTTATCTAAATATAAAATAAAAAAATTCTTGAATTATAGTTATCATAGCTAAAACATAAAAGTTAAAATAGTGTAGTAATTAGTGATAGATTAATAAAATAATCAAAGAAATATACAGAAAACTAAGACGGAGAAACAATCCAAAAGTAAACTTTTTACTCACAAAAGATTATTATTAAAATCCTTTTTATGGAAATTTATTGGTAATTAATAATCACCAACAGGCAAAACCTAAATCAGAGATTATAATTATAGTTTGGAGCTTGCAAAACTTATTGACTCAATAACAATGTCAGGATATTGAATCCATTATAGATCAGAAAAGATTCATGAAATTAGTTATTTGAAAAAATTGGTCTTTCAATATTAATATAAACAACTACCATTTTGAAGCATAAATACAACAAAAAAATTTTCAATAAAATTTGCAATATCAACCGTGTCTAGATCGAAAAACAAGAAATAATCAAGCAAAAAACAAAGCTGATCTTAGTAATGCTTTGAACATTGTCAATCACTCTGATAAATTTCATTCCCTTGTATTCCCGACTAACCTAATTCGGGTTGGACAAAAAAAAACAACAGAGAAGTTATCATTGTTACAGCGGAAACTAGGCCTTTTTTGCTTCAAATATCTTTGAATACATAGGTATAGTAATTTTATGTAAACTTACATTCACTTCCAAAAGTCCATGAAAAATTTAGAGCTAATTTGATATTGTTTTTATCTTCGAAGTCTTTGTATTTATACCAGCCTTTTGTATTTTCAACAGATTCTGGAGCATTTCCCAAACTTTTCGATTTCTTTGCACAAGAAGAAACTCTATTAGCTGAAATAAAAACAAAAATTAACTTAAGCATAGTGAAAATGACTCTCATGACATTCAAATTGATTTAAAATTATTTATATCCAATATTTTTAATACTTGATTTTTTTTCATTTGCAAAATTGTCCTTTTGAGCAATTGTAGTCTTTCAGTACAACTAAAAAGGGTAATTTATTTGATTTCCAAGAACTGGAAAAATAGAGGAAAGGTCGAGTTATTGTATTTCTCAACATTCCCTGCATTTCCAGATGTAGTAACGTCATTCAATATACATTGACTTCAATGTCAACGGATCTCAAACTTTTTGCTCATTCGACACCAAATGATCTTGGAAAAAACTTGCGTTTACACGAAAAAAAAATTGCTGCCCTTAAATAAACTCATTTTTGTGATTGTTTGTGAACATTTAGTGCCCCACAGGCCTTCAGCGCACCCTTTGGGAACCGCCGTTCTATGTGTTCTTTGCTGATCATAAATCAACTTATAATATATTCAGTATTTTATATCCGAAATATTATTATAAAACACTCAGAATAGAAAATTATTAATTCCTGGATCCACGGCAAGAACATGTCAAATAAACTCGTTTTAAACCAATTCTGTTCCCTGATGCTATCATAATGGAAGAATGGAAAAAGAGTATAAAATATAATAAAATTCTGAATATATATTTAAAAAACATGTGATGGATGGAAATTTAACCAAATTTAACCGAGTTGCCTTCGGAATAAAATGCAAATGAACAATAGTATGGGCATTTAGTAAATGAGTACATTTGTGCGAAGAGCTCTATTAGAATTCATGAATGTGTCACATTTAGGGCAGGGCAATTAGAATCAAATAGTAAATTTTCAATTGCTGCCATCTTATTGCGATTCTGTCTAACGAAAGTCGAGGTAGATTCCTCATTTTGTTTATTGAAGCCATATATTTACAATACAATTTTGACATATGACTCATTTCTATCATGTGACTACTTGATGAAACTTGTTTCTCATTGTGTGTGAACTCTCAGTGAACTCACAGAGTCATGGATTCTGTTATTTCAGTCATTTACCGTATATATCTTGAGGACATAATTCAATAAAAAAGTCACACCTAATTCGATTGATTCCTGAAATCATCAGATATTCGGAAATGCCGAGCCATTGCCATAAAAAATCTACCAGTACTAACATATTGTTTCTTGTTCAATATGATAATGTCATTTTATTCATTGAAATCGTGAACTTTTGGATTGCACGGTTTTGTTAAAATAGTACATCAAAACATGTCACGTAACAAAGTCATCTAAACAAAACATTGCCAATGGCAAAACAATGTGAAATTTTCATTTGTGTAACAATAATACATCGACTTATCAGAAACGTTTTTCTGTTCGTGATGATAAAATTAGCAATTATAAATGTTAAATCTAACGAAAAAATAGAGATTAAAAAAATTTTCAAGACGACCATGTCTATTTTCCCAGACATGTTACTCGTGACTTTTAGCCAGTATGACATACACATAAAACATACCGGTATATCATATTTCACATACCATAAGACGTATCGATTATAAGACGCACCCTCACCAATAGTCACCATTAATAAATTGTTTAGATTGAGGTTTTGTATATTTGTAAGGCACAACTGGAACTGGTACTGGTTTTGAGTGTAGGCGATAGATAAAGCACAACCTGATCCATGCATTAGGTGCAAAGGCTACAAGGCACACAATTAGTTTATGAGAAAAAACTTTAAATGGGCTGGAAAAGACAATACTATCCAATATTGTATTGAAAAAATTCAAAATCCTGTGAATAGCGGCATTAGCGGGTGTGTAACGACCCACAATAATTCTATCTCGTAGTTTCAGTAGCTCTTGACATTTCAGTTATCGATTTGTAGATTATTCGCTTTTACCTCTGAGAGTTCACAAGCTCTCTTTCTAAAAAAAAAGAGATAAAATTATGCATAATATCATAATATAAATAATTCACATACCATCTATATGAACACATTGTATCTCATGTGTTTGTCCATCATTGACGCTTGTTGCAAAAGTATTGCAGTTTGAAGCACATTGTTTTATTGTTGGAGTAACATCATCTGCAAAAAAATTAAACATAGGCTACTGAAAAATATCCGAACATTTTGAAAGTTAATGCAGCGTTTCTAACGTGTTTAACAGCAGATGCATGATAGTGTGACTGTGAGGATGTCAGCACTGCTTTATGACTAGCCAACTTTATTACTGTATCCAATATCCATGTATTTAAATTGCAATTGATCGTTTGGCTTGAGCACAAAATCTTATTCTCTCAATTGAAAATGCAAGTGTAACTAAAATTTCAATCAGTGATTTATAATAATGCATCATAAATTATAGGTTGGAAAGGTTGGGTCTCTTAGCCCCTTGCTGGTCTCTCTCTCATTCACTGAACAGTCAATTTCATAAAAACCAAAACTTGAATCGTCCAATTAATCTTTCATGCAGTAAAATGACATCAAAATGGTTGCAAAGATATGAAGCAACATATGAACACAATTCACAAAAAAAATTACATTCTCCAATTAATTCATAATACATTTCTGTTATTTGTTTCAATTGATCTATATATTGTTTACCATTAGGTACTTGAACAACCGCATCAGTTCTTGTATAAGCTAAGTTGTTTTTGTTTAATGGTAAACTTGATATCGATACATTGATTGTTGAACCATAACGTACAAATGTATTGGAGTATTTTCCGTAACAACTGTTTTCAAATATATCCTGTAGTAAAATAAAGAACAAATTTACATTAGAACCAGGGATGGCCATTCTTAACCGAATCTACTATTCCGTGGGGAATTAGGTAAAAAAAAACATGTCGGGGCTCGGGACCAATGTATATTTATTGAGTTTTATTGGGAATGTAGGAAAGTTGAATATAAAAGTGATTTGATTGGGTTTTCATTTTTAACAGTTTAAAAGCCTTTTTGATCATAATTATTGTGTGAATCAATTGTTATCAAAATGATAAATTTTCAAATGAAATTATTCCAAATCATATATAGAATCAAAATTTGAAACACCTAATTTTATTAGCATACCACCGCCAATGACACTGACCGTATTAACAAAACAATCCACTTTGTGCCCAATCATGCTCAAAAAAAAAAACATCTAATCAATACGGGTCTATTTCAATACCTTCTTGTTACTGTGGTAATCCATACTTTCGTATATACGATAACATCTTATATAATTTGTGATTCCATCTGTTATATTTAGTAAATATCCATTTGTGTGCCTCAAAATCCCTGATAAAATTGAAAAAAAAAAATATAAGGAATGGTGAAGAATAATCAAAAAATATTCTGTCAGTAAGTTATGGATAACAATCAAATTTAACTTCAATTAAAAATAGTGTTTAAGTATGTCTAATACTGGGTCATGTCGAGTAAACTGACAATTTGCAGCAATTCTCTGATGCAAATCCAGGCAATGCATTCTGCTAAGGTTTATTAGAAATTGCATGAGTAAAGGGCCAATGTTCTCCCATCGAGGAGAAATTCCACCCCGGGGAGGCATTTTGTCGTTCTTGGGGTGGAATTTTGCTTTGTATTTTTTGTATTCGCTGTAATAGTACTAACTAAGTTTCATTAGTACAATACTTATTATACACACATTACAAACTTGAAAATCGATAGCCAACGTAATCACCTTTCAATTTCTATTGGAAATTTGAATTACAATTACCGCCAATAAAGATACTAAAATCTGACTGCGTCCCTCCTACTATAAGAGGTTAAAAATTTCTAAATTTCTTCTTCAATATGTGATGAGTTTGAAAAAAGCACTCTGACTCAATAAATAAAATATAAAAGCATGCTCAAACTCTAACTGAACAGTTCCAAATCATGATCGAAAAAATTTATTTTTGTAAACCCGAATAGAAGATAATTATACATACCAAAATATGGAGGAGACCATTTCAAATTCAAAGCTAGTTTTTGTCTTCCATCGATGTCTTGAAATTTAACAAATGAAATATCAAAGATTCGAGGACGCACTGAATAGTTTTGCTCTGCAGTCATTGAGTAATTGCAATCTAAAATATGAAAAGAACAACATTAGAAATATTGAATGAAATAGATAAATATAGTATAATAGAAAATAAATTATTTTAAATCTAAAGATTATATGACATAATATCTACCGGTAGATAAGAAAATCGGCAAAATGCCAATCTCAAGTCTCAACACCGGCCAATCAGAAAAATTACATGAAAGTATAAGAAGTTTTTATGGGGAATTTGTGTATATAATAAAAATAAATTTAATCATTTGTCATGAAATTTAGTCCAGTACATTCAAACAAATAACTTTAGGTATGGCAGACTATCCAAACAATTTTATATCAATCTGTATTGTCCTTGGGTCTCCTTATATAACACAATTTTTCATTGGCACATAAATGTATATTTCAACATTTTATTTTTACAAATTGGAACACTGTAAAAAAACATTGCCAACCCCTGATTTAAACTATAGAATATACACAAATGAAGTATATTCATTCACATAAATATTATTATTTCACATACCTTTGATCAAACATGTCATATGTTTTCTATTCCTGCTTGATATATAAGAACAATTCGAATCACATGATGGAATTCCATTAAAAATTGATAAATCTTCATATACAACCTCATCATTACCATGTTCCAACAAGCTACCATTCACCATGAGATATTGAAGACCGCAGAACTCTACCAGAAGCAGTATTTTCAATAATACTACCAGCATATTCAAGAAACTATTCTAATTATTCAATCTAAATCAACATTATTCAAGCATCAATACAATGTTATTATATAGGAACGAGTGATAAAAGCAAAATAATAATCTATGTGATAATGACGATTTATCTCTTTAAAAACAAGTGAAAAATGCAACATTTTTTCTCAATAACACTTGTTATTTTTAGGTGACTTAAAACCAGGGATGTCCGGTACATTTCGTTTGAATTATTTGGGATCAAAATTTCAAATCTTCATGCGAAAAATTTTGTTGATAAATATTTCGCATAAAATTTAAATCAATTTGAAAATTTCGCTGTATGCAATTATTTTGAATACCTTATGAATAAAATTCCCATTTTATTCATAATACAATTTTTTTCTGAAAAAATTAAAACTCAAAATTTAAAAGTAGTTTGACTTGTATTGTGTTAAAAATGCAGGTAAAATTTAACCTACCGGTATATCATGATTTTATGACAAAATTAATGATTCTTTGTTTTCAGAATTTAAATCGTAAATTTGATTCTGAAAACGTTTCTACTGTGGACATCCCCAGATCCTATGCAAAATATAACGCCATACTGTAAAAAGCAAGTCACATTTTATCAAAAAATAGAAGACCAATATTAAGATAAAAGCTGAAAAATATTTGCAATATAGGAAGAAGAAAAAATATAATTGCTGAAAAAACGATAGAATGATAAAAAAGAATTTGGGCAAATGTGAAAAGAATCGATTACTTTGGCATTAGATTAGTATTTTACATTTTAATACAGAAAAAAATAATTATGGCCAAATCGAATTTCAAAATTTCCAATTCATTCAATTCAAAATTCCAACAAGTAAACCACCCATAAATACCGGTAATATAAATATAATATAAAAAATGGCAATAAGAAAATAGCCAAATTGATTTGAAAAACGAATGGTTGATGAATGACTACACAAAACAACCTCAAAGTTACAAGTCGTTTTCAAACACATTCCATCCTCGGGACCAAGCTTGAGCATGATAAGATAAACAATGAAGTTAAAATGGCCGAATATCCTAACTTTAGTAGTTAAGATAGGATTTGTATACCAGTATCTATTCCGGGGAGAGAAGTCATTAAGACAACTTAATCATTTCACGAACCAAGGCCTATTCTCCGGTTATCAGTCTATAAAAGATATGGGAATAGTTAGCCAGTTATTTGTCTCAGATTACAAGGGTAAACTAAATTAATTTACTAGTTTAATATTAAAAATGTGTATATTAACCAAGATATTACTATCATTTCCAGCTAATTATTCTTGATCCAAAAAATGGTAAAAATATGATGTTATCATTACATTCTTTCCTCTAATTGGGCGTTATTATATCACTATTACCTATAAAACAAAACAAAAAACTTATTTATTCCAAATTTATTAACCTACGGAAGATTAACAAACATATACATAATGAGATACCTATTGATATACTACACTCCACTCAATTTAGAATTTATACACCAGTATAAACAACAATTATTTGAATTGTATGGCAAATAATACAAAATTTAGTACAAGCTGTGAAATTTCTATAAAATTAAAGGTTTAAGTAATACAGGCATATCAAGGGTTTTCAACTAAAAAGCACTGAATTTTTTTCTATGTTTATATAATCAATGGAATGTTCAATAATGTTTATAAATACTTCTGAGAAAGTTAGGAATTTAATTTCAATTCGCTTCTTTCAAATCTCACAAAATGACAATTTTTAAGAAATTTATAATATTTATTAAAATATTTGGAGCCAATGTAAAACAAACATGACATAAAATTGCTATACAGAATTTTTTTAACTTAAAACTAAAAAACTACGGTACACAATCTAATAAAAACCCTTTACTGATTTTTATCACTGAAATAAAAGATGTGCAAACTAGTTCAGATTAGAGATGGCTATAATAGAACAATTTACTATTTAGAATACATCAGGAATTTTTTTTTTTTTAATGTTTAACATATCGAATATATTATAAATTGGGTCATATTTAACAAAAAAATTTGATTGAATTCACCAAAATTATACCTGATAACGACAAAAACTTGAAAGTTACCGTAAGATAAACATCCTAATGATCAAATTATGATATTTTATAAGTTGCAGTCATAAGTAAAATGAAGGCTATTTCTCGACAGCCTATAGTGTGTCAAATTCTCAAAATTGCAAATTCGGAAGGAAAAGGAACCTATTCTAAATTCTTCCTAAAATGAAAAAAAAATCTAAATGTATTCGGTAAATTCATTCATTCCATTCATTTTGGACATTCCTAGTTGGACATAAACATGGCTCATCAAACAATTCCAATTTTAAAAATAAAAATAACATACTGAATTTTGCAAAATTTACAGAATAGGGGCAATTTCCCTGGCATAGACCACAATGCCAATTAAAATAATTCAAATAGTTACAGTTCAGTGTTAAAGTTTATTGTCTAAAGTGATTGTCAAACTGAGGTACGATGATGGTGTATTATGCACATAACAGAAATGACGTTTCGAAATATTGGAAAATTGTGATGTTTTACCTGTTACACAGATTCCATAAAATAAAAAAAATTAATTTTAAAATCAAATTCGAAACTCATAATACGATATGTGGAAGATTGTTTTACAGAAAAGTACGAATGAACAAAAAAGAAATTTGATTCTTTCAACTGAAAGTTTAGTGAAAAAAATGGAAGGCAACACTAAATATTACATCTAAAGAATCTAAATCTACCTTGCATGGCAGATTAGAACATCAATAATAAAAATAGAATACAGATATTTACATAATTATCTATTAGCATGGGGAAGACGGAACGAGACCACTATTTTAAAGAAATATACACCTGCATAATGGCTGAAAATTTCATAAAACAAGTGGACTTTTAAAACATATAACACATACACATACAAAATGTATGTGTGCATGTGGATGCGCAATAAAACATACAAAAATATTTTCAATCAAAAAATAATTATTCAGTATGTGAACAGATATTGGAAGGAGGCTTTGTGTTGTTAAAGCCGGGCTGGGAAGCCAGAGCTATAGTCTTGAGTCATGGAGCCATTTTGAAGGAGCCGAAGTAAGAGCTACCAGAAATTTTAGTGGCTTCAGCTCCTAACAATCTAGTTATTTTTTCACATTTATAATTTTCCGAGCTGGAGTCTAGCTCTGACACAAAAAATGAAGCTATAGAGCAGGAGCTTAATACACATGTTGAATATGCTTTCACTCTGGAGCTGGATACAGAGCCATCGTAATTTCGAACCACCAGATCCCAAGCCTTGGTTAAAGCTCCAATTAGAATCAAAATAGAACTCAAACAGTTTTCAGTGAGTACACTGACCTAGTACATTGGTGACAATTTAAACAGAAGCTAGTCAGACCTTCCAAAGTAGTAAGAAGGTCATAGGTGGGGGCCGACTGTAACCAACCCGTAATTGAATCACTCATGCGAATTACCAAAGAAATCAAAGCAAAATTAATAAACACCAGATGGATCATTATCATAATTTGCTACTTAGTAGTTCAAGGAACAAATGTACAATAACATCAAAACACTGTAATTTTCTGTTTTTTTTTTTCTAATAAAAGTATCAACCATTTTTATAAAATGAAATCGATCATCTTTGCAACAATATTTAGCTTATTATTAAGATAAATTAGATTTTAACTGCACATGGCAAGAGAAAATCAGAACTAGTGTTACTAGCTTCAAGAAAATTTTTAAAGAATGACTGGGACATTTTCACAAAAATTGAACCAGTCAATTAATTAAGCAGAAAACAACATTCTCTGAAAGGTCTCGAAGATTTCGAGGTCATCCAAGCCTAGAATTGAGTCCCATCACTAGCGGCTATTTTATAACGAGTCTGAGTAGTTCAGTTTAGATGAATCGTGTCTAACCCAAGTCTTTATAAATAATGACTCTATTTGAGTAGATGACTCACGCCTCCCCAACACACTCGAAAAAGCAATAACTTTCAAATAAAATTTACCAAGAAACAATTTTGACATTAATTAGTAAGGACAAGGGATGGAATATACATTTCAATCTTTATAAAAAGTGATTCAAAGTATTAAATGCGTGAAAACAAAGCAATTACAAAAGATTAAAAGCCTTCAAGATAAAATGCTAATGTAAATAATATTAATAATTACCCTTAAACTAATATCTCTTTAGAGGAACAATGTCTTGCAACCAGCCTTTCACTATGTGATATTATAATTATTCACTTTGGTGTTTTTGTACATGCTTCGAAGTGACTGCTGCTTCTCCTTAACATTTAAGTTAATACAATAGACTGGAGATGGTCAAAAAAAATCTAACACATTCGAAAATATTTATATTTAATATTGTAAATGCTTGATTTTAGGAGGCATTTAGAATATTTTTATTTGGAAAGATAGTGGAAATGTATGCACAATCTATATCTTTTGGTCATACCGATCCAAGTTTATTTTCTTCGGATAACTGTAAACATTTCAGTACAATTTGTTTCAATTTTTTCTGTTTGATATAAATCTATCTTTGCTATGAGCATGCTTCTGTGTTCAACATGATCATATCCAATGTTTCGTATTCGAAAATAATATTTCATGATGTATTAAATGGCCATCCCTGATCATGGATATATCGAATTTGGCATCAATATATGGACAGCCAATCTTGAGCTACTGATAAAACAATTTCTCCTCGCCCTATGTTAGATTTATCATTGTATCTCTCGGCGAAAGTCTATCGAGCAAGATTTGAACTTAACTAGAACATAGATAAGTTTATGCTTTTAAATTGATCTTCTATATCTTCATCATCATTGTCGTCAACTTGCGCTAACGTAAAAACTCCTGATTCTCCTAGTGACCGAGGATCTGGTATTTCAATTTGCTGACTGCCAGCGGGTTCGATAGACTGAAAAAATAGAAAATAAATCTTCAAATAAATTATGAATGTTTTTAGGCGAAAATCTTCAGCTATAGTCAAATGATGCTTCCAATTTCAGCAATTCATTTCAATTTTAGATATACAAAATATTTTTGTCGTACAGAAAATTAGGAAAAGCAGAAATTGAAACAACTGTTTTAAAACTTGAGACTTTAATATAACGAGTGCTGGAGATACTCGTGATCAAAGATCGACTCGAGTAGCCTCATTCAAAGATTTTGAGTGAGTATGTCATCTGAATGGAATGACTCTGATTCGTCGTCAAATAACACTCGGATGAACCATGACTCAGCTTGGTATCCAACCTTGAATGAAGCAAATCCTTTATTGAAACAGTATTTTTTCTCATCTAAATTCGTTTATTACAGTGTCGACAATACTACCAATTTTAAAATCTCCTATTTCAAACAATACATGAATTAATTATTCCAAATGTTTACAATTTATTTTAAAAATAAAATATAGACTCAAATGTGGTATAAGAGCATTATTCTTTGTTCTATTTTTTTTAAAGAGATCTTCAAGGCCATACGCGCGATCGCTCCAAAAATAGAATATACTCATCTCTGAGCAAAGTTACGATTGACATCAAGAGCTACTGAAATTATACAAAAAATATATAAGGATGCCTAATACACCAGTAATTGTTGATTTCCATAATATACCGATAAAAATGAGATCTTATATTAATTTTTTGACTCAACTCACAATTAAATTTTCAGCTTCAAGAACCTGCGGTAGTTCCATTGAATCCGTTAATCCAATCCTCGTTATTTGAGTTTCATTAGATGGTAAATTTGAGAGCAAACTACTCTCCGATTCGAGTGGATCATCGAGATGAAATGATTCTGGGTGATATGAGAGATCATATCCTGCGTGTCCATTAGCATGACCAGGTTGGCGGAATCCTATGCCTGAGTAGTCGTCATGCTCGGCTGGAGGATGTCGGACGTGCACTGCTGCTGGATGAGGTGGATATGACGTAGACATTAAATCTTCAGTGTCTTTTTCGTCGACGACAAAACTTTCATCAGTGGAATTTGACGTGACACCGGACGACAATACTTCGTAAGGTACTCGTTTCACAGCGGGACGAGGCCCATACATCGGCGGCGGATTCGGCTGTGGTGGCTGCGGCTTGAAAAAAAAAAAGAAATTAAAAATACAAGTACTGATGATGAAAATCTAATCTGTAATAAGAGCAACCTTAATATAACAGAACATAATTTGTGAATTCAGGATAAATATGTAAATCTTATCCTATCTTCCTCCTATATCGCATATCAGATTTTATATTAGTAAGCGTTTTGAATCTTCATTCTGAACAAGCAGCCATGGATGAAGAAGGAATTGCTATTCTTAGGAAAAATTGAATCCTCCTCCTTTTTGAATCATTTTTGAATAAATTAAGACACCTTGATGATAACTGATAGAATAAAATTCAAAAAAACTTACTATATTTTGGGGTGGAAGATACTGAGCTGGTGGAGCTGCATTCATCACTTTAGGTCTTGCACCAGTACTGACTGGTTCATTCGGAATTTGTGGTGGAGCCGACATGTGAAGATAAGAAATGCTAGCTTGACCTTCCACCTCTGGTGCCATTTGACCTTCATCAGGAAGTATATCAGGTTCTGTACTAGTAGGAAGTTCTGGTAAGTTAGACCCAGCCATGCCTTCACCACATTTGTCCGTGTACCATGTTGGATTGGACCGAACATAAGCGGACATTTTTTCTATCGATTCCTTCAACTTCATTCCACACTGTGTTAGTTCGGGCTCATGGTATCGATCAAAAGCAATCTGAAACAAGTGAAATTTATTGTTTGTTATTGAACGAGAGTAAATATAAAATATATAAAAATTATACAAAACATAATCAATATACGAGTTAAAATAGGACTAGTGAGAGATGTCCGAAACGAAGAGAATGATTCAAAATAGAATAGTATTAAATATTATTAATTGGCAAATTTAGAATAGCTTTATTTGTAAAACTATCATTTTAATCAACTGAATTCTCACAGTATGACAACAGGAGTCTTCATTCAATTTATAAAAATCTTGTTTATATCTCAAATTTGTCACATACCAAATTCAAACTCGTATATATTTTAACATCTATGTGTTTTTGTTAAAAATGACCATATATTCGACATTCCATATTCAAATTAATATTTCAGAATGTTTTGAAATAGTTGAATATTTGGTTTTGAACATCCGTGAGTCATGATATTTTTATTAGAATTAAATTCTTCAAATACAACTTCTAAAACTATAATAAACCTTGTCAATCCTGTGTATCCCGCCTTCCTGATATTGTTCAATTTCCACGAGTCGAAAATAAAAAGGTTCAAATTGTTTCATTAATTTGAACAATGAAAAATACATCAGACATTGATCGTGTAGTAAATCAGGGACGTGTTCTGGCTTGCTGTAGTCAAAATAACCAACCTGGAAAATATAAATAAACACTTAACAATTGATTTACATGTTTTGATCTGAACAAAGTGGTGTGCATGGAAGAATTTGGGTAAAATATAGAGCTCAGAGTAAACTTAGAAAAATGGAAGTATTATATAGCCTTCAAGTTAGTATATACCAATTGATTTGTATATTACCATTTCAAGTTTTGCTCATTTTTATACACCCTATACATGACAGACAACGATTAATGTTTGATTATATCCCTCACAATGACTCGTAAAAGAAAAAAGGACGCTTTATAAACATTTAACAAAAATAACATCAGCTTAAAAAAAATTGTTTTGATTGTCTGGCTTTTAAAACGTACATAATACGGCCTGAATAAAGCATGACTCTTCCTATTTGAATTATAAAAGCACTTGAAAACAAATAAACATTTTTTCAAAAGGATTTATGAAAGAAATATCAAATCGGTTACAAAACTGGTGATTCTCATTATATTTTATATACAAAGCAAAGTCAAGCATTTTGCTACAAACAAGGTTCTGTACAAGTGACCACTACTATCTAACTGTAAAGAGGTACTATTTTTGGGATCTACCTAAATCTTTTCAATTCGACATTGACCCCACACTGGGTGAGATGGCGAGGATGGGATTTGAACCTAAGATGTGTAACTTGCCAACACAGTTTATTATAATGCATTAACCGCTAGGTCATCATGTACGCCAGGGCCACTCAACTATTTTTACCGAAGATCCGCATCCGGATGGAGACGGTCTTTCCAAAAATTATTATTTGGCATCCTTAAACACGCGCTTCCTCGGCCGACTAATGATTACCAGCTAATCAAGATTGTTTATTATGGCGTTATAGTTCTATTCATATATATTTAAATCTATAAAAGTGATTTTATTAAAAGAACTTCAAAAGTGGAGCTAATGATCTAAAATAAAAAATTAGGCGCGGTCCGAATCGAATACCCGAAAGGTCCGGATTCGAACCACGGTCCGCCAGCTGAGTAGCCCTGATGTACGATATACATAGGTGTTATTAGTAAAAGAAAAAATAAATAAAATTACCAAGAATTTTCCTGGGTGTTGTCCAATGAATGACTGCTGACAAATGTTATGAATAACCGGTGAGAACATGTTGCCATCATATTCTTTCTGATCTAAGCAGCCCTTAGTTCCTTCCGAACATATAACAATAACCTGATAATTAAAAATAATATTTTACTTTATTTTTTGAGACTATGTTTTAGCTGAATAGATTTTGCTAACAAAAAACAAGGAATATTTTTTCTGTATTAAAGCTGAATTACAATATTCCATACCCGAATAATATGAATATCACATCCGGTATTGTAAAGAATAACGATATCTTTATTATTTTAGCTTTTTCGAATTTCATGATTTGTGGAACATTTTATTCCTGCTTATAATGGGTTCCATCAGTTATGTGGGGTTAAAGGTCAGACATCCCCCCCACCCCACCTTTGAGATGTAAAAATAAAATGTATCATACATAGCAATTTTCATTAGCTGAAATGGTCTAACTTAGTAATGAGAAATTTTAGAACTCCCCTTTCATGAAACTTTCTGGCTATGCCTTGGCAATACAGTTAAAAGATTGAACAACCATTAACATAGATATCATTTATGGTACTGAGTGACGGGGTGTGCTCATGGTCCCCATATAAACGCTACGTAGCCCCCTAGGTCAGTTTGGTTAACCTTTAAATATACCGTACCTTATTTGCATCTTTAAGATTGCTTGTCATATACATCGCTGGGTTAATTGCAGCTTTATTGACTTCCCAAGCAGACATTCGTACATCGAGGCCGAGATCAGATTTAAGGTACGAACAAAACCAATGGACAGCTTCCGTATGTAATTTATGATCATCCGCAAATACTACGTACACACGAATAGTCCCACTTTGAGGAATAGTAGCTGGAGCTTGTGGCATTTCTCTTTTTGGAGGCATAGGTGGCTGCTCAATTACTGAAAAAATTAAATAATTAATATTGATGCATTACAAATTAGGGCGCTCCAGAAGTATGTGTACCAATATGGAGATAACTAATTTTGTTCGCCTACTTTACAGCAAGTTGTGTTAAGGTACTGAAACTTATGGGCAGGGGGTATATTAACTTGGCTGAAACAGACCCGAAGTCGTAACTCGTAATATAACTAAAAATAAAAAAATCGGAATGAAACTATGGCCTAACCTGGTACACAAACTACAAGAATACCAAAATTAGTTCTTACCAGTACCTAGCAATAAGATAAACACACAGACAAGTATGAGGAAAAGCAAACTATCTGCTATTCCATATACAGTGTATGAGAATTTAAATTAGTAATAAAGTAAATTATTCGTTTTTCTCATTTTTTTGTCAAGTTTTTAGAAATCTAATAAAAATCTTTTTTTATGTCATTTTACCTTTGTTCAAAATGATAATTTTGCAACGAAACTGTTCTAAATTATTCCAAAAATAAGAAATTTAAATTACTTGATACAATTGATTTTGAAAATATTCTCAAATATTCAATTCGTTTTTGATTTCTCTACTTAGACAATTGAATATATTTTCACAACCCTTACTTTGGAAATCTTCAAAGGGAAATTTACATATGATTCATACACAATGTGCAAGCAAGGAGTTTCAATACTGAATGTGAATGGAAAAAGCACCACAAGGTTTCATCATCAACAAAATAAATTAAAAAAGAAATATACACAATAGCATAGTTCTAGAATGTCCTTTTGCGAGCAAATTTCCACCAAATGGCCCCTATGAATGCTTTTGCGGGAAAGACAAACATGCGAAAGTATATATAAAGCTTATTCTAAATCATGACTCAACAATTTAAATTGAGATGAAACTAGAATTATAAATAGCATTTCAGCATTTCAGAGCATAATAGGCTTTGGACTTTCGCTAACGTACAGTAAGTTTCATATTACCTTTTCAAAATATTTTATTATTATGGTAAACGTGTGGCCGTGCGTATCTTTTAAACTCAGAAATATGATCTTAAATGATTGATGTTGCATTCTCCTATTTAAATTTATGATCGGATAGATAGCTAAAAGGAAACCACGCATTGACAATCCATAACACAGGCCTTGGTTTCCATCGAAAATTCATTTTAAGATATTTAGGCAGTCTACGGCATGTTAAAAAGCCGCAATGTGAAACTGCATGCTAATTACCATCACAAGATAATTAGTTTCGATTGTCTGGTTATGTAACTAACGCACAAACTATAAATATTTATCAGTTAATGATAGCTCATATACATTCTTACGAACTTGCTTCCAGGCAGATTAAATACAGCTATTCATCATAATAGTTAAATGATAATAGGAAAAAAATGTATGCATAAAAGATCACAGACAACGATGGATAATTTACTATGAATATAATTCAGAAGGAATTATTTCCCTAAATGAGATATCGAACATCCTTATATTCAAACTGGTTCATTCAAATGTTGAAATGATGAAGTTCACCTATTCATAGATATAGGGTTTTGTAATAGATTGAATATTCTACAGTTATCTAGCGTAAAATGAGCCTGAAATGGTCCTGACAATTTTGCCTGATATCAATTATGTAAATAAAAACATCTTAAATTGTTCTTAGAACAAAAATTTACTATTTTGAATATAATTAATTTTCAAGTATTCGAATATTTGAAATTTGGCCATCCCTTGTAACAAAGTAACATAACTAGGGCTGGGAATTACGGGAAAACACTTTAATCGTTAATCGGGTGGGGGGGGGGGAATTACTCGGTTAACCGCAGCGTGACGTTTCACGTAATAATTTATAATTTTAGCTTTTTGCGTCACAATGGTTACAAAGCAGTTTTGTGTGATCTTAATTATTCATGAATCGAGATAGTTTATGATCGCTCTGCTGCAAGAGATATGCAGCGTACTTTGGACATGGAAGTATTTTAATAAAACCCGATTCCGTTATTGAATGACATTTATGTGGCAAATTTTTAGTGTTCGATGTGAAATTCCACTTCATATCATAAGGGGAAAGAGCGTAAATTGCGCACTTGTTGGATGACATTGAATATACAATTTTGCAATAAAATCGTGACCAATATATTTTTACCAAAAACTTATTCTGAATTTATCATTGTCAAATTTTCATAATAAGAAATCTTGGTACCAGTACTTCAATTATTTTTCATATTCATTGGGTCCTAACCAATACAGTTAGTGATATTGTTTTGAATCAAACACCACAGGAGATTAATTTGAGATGACCTAATCATTTCCGAAGAAATTGTACATTATACAGATAATTTGTACCTGAGATGTCAGTCATGGTTACAAAAAAACTTTAATGTTAACCATCTTAAATTGGTTGGCCGATTAACCATTCCCAGCCCTAAACATAACTGATTTTGCATTATGCCTGCAAAATTGATTCAGACTTGCCCATTCCTTCACTTAGTCGGGTAAAAAGAATTTAAAAGTGCCTGGGGAGACTATAAAAGATTTCACAACAAAAGTAATGGCCATTTGAGAGCCCCATTCGTCCTCAAATACTGAAAACATCAAAGTGCTCATTTAAAAATTGAAAAAAAAAATGGTTGTATTAACAACAATATCAAAAACAGCAGTTTTTGTCAAAACAATCCATAGGTTTGTATTCCACAAGTTATCCGTATTAAAAACTAAGTTCTATTGTACTATAGCACCAAATCTAACCATCAATTCTAAACAAAGATGAAATTAGCAAACATTAATAGATTATCTTACCTGGCTGTTGATGATATTGGACTGGATCTAAAAATTAAAAAGAAAAACTTTAGCAACTGACGCTTTATCTTAACTAAGTTATCACTCTTAAATATAAATTAATGAAAAAAATACACAAAAACTTTAAAAAAAATCGGAATTTTTTTTTGATTTTTAGGGAACATAAACACACGATAAGAATTTTCAATTCAAAAAAAAAAAATAATTCAAACTTCTTGTAAAGTGAAATGCATAGCATGCCAGACAGATAATATTTATCAATATATATCTGAATATAATTAAATATTACAAACGGACAAATATTTCAAATATATAACTTATGTCTGAACAAGTGTGGGCTTTATAAGTCTGAGGATGCCCATCAATTCCGGAATTCTGAATGAGAAATATAAATACGTCACTGCGGCACAAACTAGGGGATTTTAATGTATTTCAGATACAAAAGAATGCTGAAATATTTGCCAAGATAATGATTATCATTCACAAAAATGTTAATTGAAAAACTCATTTTATTTTAAATATTTGATACAAAATGTTGTGTAATATCTCAGTAAGAAAATAAAAAGAATCATCAAAATATTCATTTTTTTAAATCCTGAAAACTAACAGAGTATAAAGTAGGTTATGCTAACATAACATCATTTCATTATGGTGAAATAATTGGACAAAACAAATTTTTTTAAAACGCAATATCAGGTTATTTTTAATATTTCTCTGTCATGTGCATGTGTTTGAGAGTTTCATAATTTAAATGAAAAGGTACATCAAGTGAGCAAACTGAACTTTTCGACACAATTTTTCAATACAACTTTGCATGTTGAAAACCCCATTTTATTATGAGTTTCCTGATCACCTAAACAGTTTTTATTTGTTTTCATCAATTTTTTTTCACCTTTTTATCAATTTTATTATGTTTCAATTTTTTTTCACGTATGAGAATGTATTGCATTAAATTTTTTTATTTTTTTCTGCCCAACTTTTCCTCTAAAAAAATCATACAATTGGTATGTTAAGTTCTGCCATTATTTTATATAATCACATTATTCAGCTATAATTCATCATTTTGTTATATTTTCCAGAATGCAATTAAGACTAGGAATGAGTCTATGTAACAAACATATGCCCACTTTATTTTAATATTGTCAATGGTCTGTTAACTAATGTTATTTTATACTTGGATAAAATACTAGTCCGAACCCCATGATTTTAAGTTAGAATCTAAAGCGTATTTTACGACCATGCGGTTTTGAATAATATTTTTTCTCAAAAATGGATCGTGCACCTTATGAGCTGGTGCCCATAATGTATGGCTCAGGTAGTGCTTCATGCTTTATTGATTGCCAAACACTCAAAACCAGTATCGGCTGCACCTTCTGTATAAATAAAAACCCAATCCAAGCAATTTATTGACAACGCCTCTTCTGGTCCATAAAATACAGTCAGATTAAATATATAAAAACCGTGATTTCATATTTATTAATATTGCCAATTCACTCAAAGATTAAAGTATTCCAAAATCACATTCAGTTTTTAGTATCCATCTGAGAATGATGCTTTTCGTTCTACTCTTTTACAAAATATTAATGGTCGAAAAACGATTTATCTAACCTTCCAAATATTTTTAAATATATTATACTGAAAATATATTTGAATTTGGCCATATTTTGACAAAAAACAATCTTTGCAATCGATAATGAAATACAGCAGTTAACTAACATATTTTCTGGACAATAAGGGCACTTTCAATGAATTGCTTAGATCAGATTTTTATTCATACATAAGGCGCACCGGGTCATAAGACGCAACAGTTTTTAAAGCAATAACGGTTCTCGGGACTGGTGTAGGAAATAAAGCATAAAGCACTACCAGACAGACAGGCCTATATGGCGCACAATTGATTTTTGAGAAAAAAGATTCCAAGTGCGCCTCATGGATTAATAATTATAGTTATTTAATCTAACGAGGTATATTTTGTGTTTCTATCATTGCTCTAACAAAGTCAATTTAGATAATTTGTTCCTGTCATGCTGCTTTTTTGGGCTCACTATTGTGACTAGTTTTATAACTAAATGGTATAATCTGGACAGTATTAGATAAGGTATATTCCAAAGAAAAACTAACAATTATGTAGACCCAGGTAACAAATTCCACGAAAAGAACCTTTTCCCTTTTTTTATTTCCCAGGCATTTTAAATATTAAGCCTGTGTTAACATCTAACCAGATATCAACACCATAAACTCATTTATTCAATATATGCGGAGCTACATATCAATGCAAAAGTATTAGAAGCAGCAATAAAATTGTTTATAAAGCAACTGATCAATAACATGAAACAAAAACAGAAGTGTCATATTGGCCTACACAAATTTATAATGGCGACTATAACTAAAATCTAAATTTGTATTGAAATATTACTCTTCTAAGAGACTTAGTCTTTCTTCTAAAATGTTCCACGCTTTTTCTCCAAAAGTTCTGGATAAGCGATTCAGCTTTTAGGTTTCAGCTTCAAAGTATAGGTCTTTCAGGTACAGCGATTTATTATAGATGGTAACATGAGATTTAAGAAAATAAACTTTCAAATTCGAGTTTCTAACATAGTTGGTCCAGTGAAAATGGTGTATTGTGCATGGATTTTTAAATATTTACTTGTCGTCTAATCAAAAAGGTTTGACTTGAACTCGACCGAAAACCAGATAGAATTGAAATGAGATTCAAAGTGAATTTTATACCAGTCTTTGGAAAGCAGGAAAAATTTCAGTGTAATATAGTTTGCAACAGCGATTGTTGTAAATTAAAAAGTTGAAAATACACTCGTTTGTTGCAGCAATAACTCGATATAGGCTGTGGTGATCCGAAACTCAGATGGCCCATTACAGCACTGTTTTCTGATTCATTTTGTTTATACAGGTATATCATCAAAGTTTGATAGACGGAATCAAAAATAAAACAAAGACCATTGGAGTGTAGGATTCTGGCTAGTTTCATAAGTTATCTTTCTTGTTACATCATGATGAGTGATTTTTAAAATATTCTTCACTTTTTATTGATAGATTAATTTAGTTGTATTCTATCATTTCCATGATGGAAAAAAGCAGCAGCATAATAATGCATTGTCGTTCATGTAGTAAAACAGTCTTTCGAAAATTGCCAACAATTAGTGAAATTATTGATCCCAAGACAGCAGCATCCTCATTTTACATATCTTCATAGATTCGTGACATTTTGAAAAAAGAGTATGTTTTTCCTTCTGCATTTAGTGGTGCAATAGAAACATTACAGAAATATTTATACTGGAATAATTATGGAGAGTATACTATGTTCTATGTTGTCAAAAACTAAAAAATTTGGTTGTAACATCAAGCCTTATTATACAAAAACTTTTGTCCTAAATGGAACTAAAAACATGTTTTTTTTTTATTTCAACTTATACCTGAAATCTACGTGCCACTGATGATAGAGTCTAAGTTTGATATAATGATTGAATTTGCACTAGCGCAAGTCATTGAATACTATATAATCCAAGACAATATACTGATAAAAGTTTTTTTTGAAACTGAAGTAAAGTCTTTATTGTTTCTAAAATTTCTCAAAAAGACAACGTTAGTAGTGCAGAGTGAGTAAGGTCGGGTGCAAAAGTCGACTATTTGATTATTATAATTTCAAACTTAAATTCGTTTCTGGTCGAACTTACAGGCAACCACTGGAATGCAAGATCAACTGAAACTCAAATAGTCGAAGCAGTCCAAATGCTATTCTAAGAACATAACAAAAAACTTTCAATAATAGGCATTGACAATTACCTTCTATTGGAAAGCATATCAAGGTTTTTTTTTTTTTCGAAGCCGAGCTTTTTAAAAATTTTGTAAGACAGAAAAAGTAGTTAATAAGGTGGGGCTAGTTTTGTTATAATGGATGATTGTTTTCGTTAACATGACTTGGTTATTCACACTGAATATCTTTATATCAGTCTACAAATTCTTCCTATCTCAAAAGGATGTGTGGAGACGTCTTGTGCCAAGACAACATTCATAATTTGTTTTCTCTCATGTGTTACTAACGCACCAATAAATTTGGACCCCCACCCCACCCCATTTTAGACAGCCCAGCTGTGCCCCTGACTAACAAATATTTCTGACTGGTATCTAAGTGACATACAAAAGTATATTAATTTTACTTTTATTTTCGTACCTTCACTTTGCTGGGTATCGAAGCATTTTGACTGTAGCATGTGTAGCAAATGAAGCAGACTGCACCTTACATCTCTTGTGAAACAAAACAGGAAGATGACTCCGAGCAAGATTAGAATTCCAACGATAAGAATTACTGTGATCACGATGTACGTAGTCGACGATATCGGCGTAGTTACACAAACTGAACAAAAAGAATTTCGAATTTTTGGTAAATTTCACTACAAATTTTCATTTCATCAAGAAATTTCTGTATAGTGATCAATTTGGATTATTCAATTCTAAAATACAAAACAAGACTTTATGGACTTTGTTTTAAAAAAACTTTATTTTATTACATTAAAAAAAATTAAATTTTTGACCCCGTTTTGTTATTTTAATAAGATTTTGTTATTTAATGATCTATTGATATTGTTATATAAATATTTATATGGGCATTTACTCCTCATATAGGCTACTCATAGTGGGATGCCACGGAAGATTGAATTCATAGAGAAAACATAAATGTTTTGTCTAGACACTTTATTTACCGGTATATTGTGGATATTGACATTCAAATTCTTAGCGCTAAAGATTTGATAGTTGAATTTTCATTTAGTTGAAGCTTCAAAGAAATATTTGGAAGTCAAAATTACATAAAAGCGGGTATCTATAAAAAAATGGTATCTATCTTTGATTTTAAAAAAAAATTGCGAAAGTCTTAATCTATGGAAAAAAAGGGTTGCTCACCTGAAAAATCGGGATGATCTTTCGATCTTTTCATTGGGTAATCAACTCCTTCAACATAAATTGTGTATGGAATCGAAAGGTTTGCCGATGAAGGCAAACTAATGTTATACAATACATTTTGAGGCTGAAAATAAAATTTCGATTTAGATTTAAAAGGAAAATAAAACTATTTGACTACTTGAGATACTTCAACTTTAGCATGGAATATGTTTAACAATCGATTTCCATCTAACTAAATTATTATTGCTGGAACAAACTAAAAAATCCAACAAATATATTAATATCCATTAGGAAAACGTGTCAAAATATGTATCTGTACATGAGATCAAACCTCGAGAGCAGTGGTTTAAATGGTTTTCAACCTTTTTAGAAACCGAAACCCAAACAAAACAACACAGAGCCTCGAGGAGCCCATGGGCAATAAAGTTGAATTGTCTGAACTATGTATAAACTATGAATATATATATATATATATATATATACAGCAAAACAAAAAGATCTTTCAAGTGATATTCAAACATGTAGATACAGTATGTTAATATAAACTCATCGATTTGAATGGAAACCCTAACCCTAACCCCTGGACTGTACTGGCAGAAGGTTAGGGTGAAGCAGACCCTGGTTGAAAACCGCTACTCTAAAAAAACTCATTATATAATATATCTGTAACGGATATGATCACAGATATGAGTCCTATTTACTTCTGAGTGAGTGCATATTATGACCTTGCTGTGAGCAAATTTTCAATTTCACAAACACAGTATTTTGTTAAATTTTACAGCGATACTATATATTTATTTAAGCAAGTATTAAGCTACACAAAGTTAAGCTACAGTTGAACTCACAAGAAATTCAAGATAGAACAGATAAGAAATGTTAATTCAAAGATAAGATAATATAAACTGCTTTCAAATTCCAGCCAATCTACAGATAAAGTCCAAAAATTTCTACTTATTGGTATTTTGAAAGAAGCCGGCCATATATTAAATTCAATTGTATAATAAACTTCTAAATTATGAAATATGAACATAATAGTGTAAAATTTGCCATTGAACCATGGTTTCACCCAAAAGGGAAAAAATTCTAAAATAAAGTTTTTAATTTTTTGATTATTTTTGAAACCACGATCGCTATCTTGAAACGTTTATTTACATTACAATAGTTAGAGCAACGAAGAAAGATCAATACAAAACAAGATAGAGGTTATTTTAATACAAATCCAATCGAGTCAAAGCACAAAAGCATTCATTTAAGCATAGCAAACACATTGAGAAATTGCCATTGCAGGTGACAATTTTTAGAGAATTTTTAAAGATGAAATCGAAATTGCAGAAAAATCATTTATGAAGAAAGCGTTTACAGCACACAATATTTCAGTAAAATTCTAACTATATAAGTATTAGCTGAAAAATAGACTGCAACTATTCTAACTAAAAACAATTTGCTCATAGGACCTTCAAAAGGAGAGTAAGAGTTGAAATTGGATAGCAATGGAAAAAAAGTTCAATTCCGGATTTCACATATTGCTATTTAGAAGCTCATACTTATTTTATCTATCTAACTATAAAAAGCCAAACAAACATATTATTCACAGCACAAAAAAATGGTGAAGGCTTACGAGGGAAACTGTCATTGTTCGAAGAACATGTCTACAAAGACATTCGTTGTTTTGAACAGGCTGAATAAAATATAACATTAGAATTATGAAAAAATGAAACTACCGGTATTCTCAGGGAAAAATTGCAGGGGAACATGACAGACCATACAGTTGAAATAGGATATGATAGGAATTTCCTATTCATCCCAGGGGAGAAAAAATCCATTATGATGGCTTGACTAAATAGCGAACCGTGGTCCATCATACAGTCCATTTCAGGTATGAAAATAGTTTATCAGACATTCATTTCAGATGCATGGACTTGATGGTGGAGGAAGGCATAACCGACTAGCAGAAACGTAAACGCCCCTATGGCGGCAAGGTTCCATCAATTCTTTCACATATAATATAAGCTACAGAATTTGAACCCACAAATCCGTGCGAGGTAAACGGAGGTACGATAGCTAGAGTGTTTCTAGCGCTTAGCCAGGGATGGCCAATACCGAATAGTTCACTATTTCGAATACATTCGAAATTATTTTTTTCGAATATGAAATTTCGAATACTTCGAAAATAAAATTCACTAATTGAAGCTTATCTAAATGTATGTAGGAATTTCCATACAATAAGCAATGGAATAACTGCTATCTACAAGTTACAACCTAGTTATATTACCAGGCATTTCATATTTGCAGATTATTGCAGTATATATTTTATATACCTTGAGTCATGTTAACCGAATTAAATTAATACGGCAATAGTGGTATCGGTGATGGATTTGAATATTTGCGCAACACAAAATCATCCTAGTAAAACGCCCATACTTTTAAATATCAACCATTATCCAAATTATTTGCCAAAAAGCGGGATAAAGTATGAGTTATTTTTCCGACTTTTCTAAGTCCACAGATCGCCGTTGTATTTTGTAAATACAAAAATAGGAATCAAAAATTAATATTAATCGCGAGTTTGCCACACAATTTATGTCCACAGATTGCCGTGATATTGTGCCGAATATAATTAGTTTTTGATTCTTATTTTCGCACTCACGAAAAAATTTCACAAGTCGGAGAAAGAATTTATACTTTATCCCGCTTTTTGGGAACTAATTTAGATAATGGTTGCCATTGATTTGTATTTAAAAGTATGGACTTTTTACTAGGATGATTTTGTGCTGCGTAAAATATTCGAATCCATGACTGATACCACTATTTAAAATGCCTTACCGTGTTAATTTAGTTCTATAATCATAACTCAAATGTTGGTAAATCGGGCAGTTTACCACACATTTTAAGGCCACAGATCGCCGTTGCATTTTAGAATTATAATAGTTTTATTATTTTGTAAATACGAATCCAAAATTAAATATAATTGGGCAGTTTACCACGTATTTCATGTCCACAAATACCCGTGGTATTTGGTATTAATACTTTCATTATTTTCTCAATATGAAAATAGGAATCAATATTTAATAATATCGGTCAGTTTACCACACATTTTATGTCCACAGATTGTCCATACAACAATGAGTTACGTTGAACGGAATTAAATTAATACGACATGACATTTTAAATGCTGGTACCAGTCAAGGATTGGATTATTTTGCGCAACAAAAAATCATCCTGGTAAAGGATCGATACTTTTAACTATCGTTATCAAAATTATTTGCCAGAAATTATTTTCTAATAAATCAACTTGTTTTTCCAACTTGTGCCAATTTATTAGATATCGTAACAATGACGGCTATAAATACCGTATTTCCCGGCTAATATGTCCACATGGCAAATAGGACGATGTCTATTTTTAGCACTCAAAAAAGGGTTTTTTCCATATAGGCCTCCAATAAGACTGGTAGAAAAATGTGTCCCTGTGATATGCGCTAATAATTTTATATGTTTGGAACCAGATCATGTTAGTTTGGTAGAATCATACTCACAGAATTAACTATTTTTTACAATTGAGTGGTAAATTTAAGTTGTAAAGCGGCAATCATTTTGGACAACCTATTAACCCGAATGTTAAAATAATTTTGGAATGTGATAAGTATTACACTGTACGTCCACGGGTTATTTCACAGCTGCGTTTTCCTGTCCCTGTCGTATTCTGCTGAATCGGCAAAACGAAAGGGTCACAAATCACTTTCACTCGGTGGCCCTGTTTCTCTTTAAAGTAACGATAACCGGCCTGCGATTAAATATCATGATTGGCAGACCCTAAGACCCAAATATAAGGTTACACAAATCATGCTTGAGAAGACTAATAAGCAGGCCACATAGAAATAAAATAAACATACTTTCTCAATTAGACGCCCCCCAAAAAAAATCAGGCCAAAAAATTGGGCCTAGAAAAGCGGTAATTGTCAATTTTTCGACGTGATGGAAATGAATTTGTAAATTAAAAGCCTCGTAGACGAATGTCGGCAATGTCCACCCACGCAAACGTGCAAATGTGTCGCAACACTATGCGACGTACGATCGCACAGAATATAAACAATCAAAGTGCCGATTCTATTTCATCGTCATTACAATACGTGAGACAGCGTGAAAAGTCGTTTGAAGATTCCCGTAAAACGAAACACCACGTTTACGGCGAAAAGTGGCTACTATTCGGAATTATTCGAAAATCAGCCGAAAAGGTATTCGAATACTATGATATTCGAATATATTCGAATATTCGATTCGTTTTGGACAACCCTGCGCTTAGCACAGCGTTTCCCAACCTTTTTTGGTCGCGGACTATTTTCTCACCCGCGAAAACCTTTGTGAACTCAAGATTCAAAATTGGAAATTCGCCGCAATTACGCGTTCGTGTATAATGGCCTTCTCTGTCGCACAATATTCAATCCGTGACAACGACGACAATTTAAAATGTCTTTCTATTTTAATTTAATTGTGTTCATGGTAACTCGCGGTTGCGTCGACTTACGACAGGAAGAAAGCATTACTTCTTTTAAAATGTCACGGCAATCTGCGAACATAATAATGTGACAATATATTGCCCGATTATATTAGTTTTGGTACATATTTTTTGCGATCTTGCAAATTTTTAATCGCCGTTAGAAAAATTTTCCTACCTGCTATAAATTTAAAGTACAACTTGATTTAGTACTTATTAAAAATATATTCAAAGTATATATATTAGGAAATCAAAAATACATATTCATCGCCTTTCTTCATTATAATTTAATTATGATCATTATAATCTGCAGCTGTGTTGACGAAATAAAAGCATTAGTACTAAGAAAATATCATGACAATCCGTGAACACAAAATTGCGTGGTAAAGTGCGCGATTATATTTTGTTTTGATTCCTATTTTTGTGAATTCAACAAATCTGAGCTGTTCGTACAACACTTACGACGCCCCCAGTACTGTACATACCAATGTGGAGGCAGTAAAGCAAAGAATCATAAGGGAAAATGCCCTGATACGTATACTACAGTAGCACCCGAAATTTTGCGATTTGAAATGTCAAAAAAAGCATTTTTAATCGGTCGCTAACCATCATCAAACAAAACTTATGGTGTTCTCCGTTTTATTTTTAGTATTTTGTATTGCCGCTTTATAATTTAGAAAATTTCCACCATTGACATCTACCAGAAAAAAATTATTCCTCGTTGTTCGAACTCGCGAGAAACTTCACTTCACACAACATCTATCGAAGCGTGTGCAGACTCGTGTGACCTGCCGCGTCACTTGTTTCCAAATTTTCGAATAGTAAATTGCTATTCTAATAGTTGAATATTAGAATATATGCCCAGCCCTACTCAGTAACCAGTAATTAACGACTCGATTAATGTTATGTGAATAAACTTGCTTTTTATTTGTTATGTGAATTCTAACGTAAATCTTAACTTGGCTGATGGTTCAGTTTCGCAAAAACATTTGCGGCCCGCTGCAGTAAATTTCTGGCTCGTTGCGGACTCATTCAAACGCTCCGCGGACTCGGGTTGGGAAACACTGGCTTAGCACAATGCTCCAACCACCGATATATAAATGTATTTGAGTATGAAATATTTTTATACATATTTAGTTACACGATTCTTATATTGTATTCAAATTTTTAAATCAGGGATCAGGAATGGTCAAAGTCAAATAATTGAATATTCCGAATATAAATTCTGGAATAATATTTTGAAATGGATAATTTGAATATATTAATATATTTTGAAAGATGTTCAACAAAGAAATTTTCAGAATTCTTGAAAGATTTTCTGTTTTTTTTATTTACCATGTCAGAATGTAACGGAAGTTTCAAATGTTAAAAAAAATAAATTTTCAGGTAAAAATATTATAATTTCTTTCCAAAAACATAATTTACGATAGGCTATCAAATATCACCAATTTCAAATATATCAGACCTCGTCAGCAAATCTGCTAACACAATCAAGATTCAAGTTACTTTTTCCAAAAAATTCCATATAACAAACAAAACAATACTTCTGCTTTCGGACCTTCCGAGTAATTTGACACCATTCACGGCATGAGTATCCAAATGGCATATTCACAGAAGCGTTGAGAAATGAGTAGTATTAAATTTCAATTTTTAAAAGATAAGGCGACTAGCAGCATGGCTGTCTATGGCATAGTTATTCAATTGTGTGTATTCTGGGGGTCCATCATTAGAAACTTAAATTTATAAAGCATTTAATTCTTATAAATAAAATTAACAATGTTTTTTTAATTTGTTTTACATGTATTTTTAGTATTTTTCGAGGTAAAATCATAATTCATGGCTAAAAATTGATAGGAAGTTGGCATCTATCCAGATATTGATGGACAACAAATCCTGTCAATTTAAAAAAGCATTTTAATTTTACCTCACTGCAAAAAATCTTCAGAACAAAATATCCAATTTGTGAATTCTGTGAATATTTTTCCCGCGACAAGTGACTTCTAAATGTCCAGTCTAATTCATTGAATTTAGAATGCTAAAAAACCTATTACCATATCTAATTTGGACTGGTAACTGTGGCTTCCATTTCATGTGAATAAAAGTCGTATTATCAGCATTCCTCTCATTCAAGAAAAATCAAAATCGAATCTGATATTAAGCCAATAGTTGTTGAACAAATTTTATAAAAAAATCATACGTTAAAAGTATTTGAAAATTGTCAACTATGACTGTATAAAAAACACAACATAATATCGTTTTGAAGTGATGAGAAGCTTTTTAAAAAACATCTTACCAATAAATTTTCCATATAAGTTAGCCTGTTTTTGCAATGTTGTAATTGTAGTCCTCTTTCACAAAATACAATATTGGCCAGTTTCCCAAATTCTGCAGACACCGAATAATTGTATTTTATGGACCTGTTGTGGCAAAATACTTCTTCTACTCGACCAAAAATGCGTCTGTTGTTTTCACCTATATTTATAAAAAAAATATACTAATTAACAAGAGAAAATCACTGAACGGCCTTGAAAGGCTGCTCTAAATGTTTAAATAAATTCACAAGTATTTTCATAGGTATTTGTCTTTCAAATATGCTTTGTTCCTAAATTACCACAAGTGACGCTAACAGGCCAAGTGAGAGCAATAACAAATCTGAATTTGATTGAAAGTTGGGGATGTTGAATTACGTTACGGTGTCTACACACTAAATAAAATAGTTTTTGACCACCAAAAGTGCAATGCACTGACCATAGAATGACCTTGTTATTGTTTCAACTGAGGTATGACACCCAAATAGAAAAGTGCTGACAGTATATACCAGTAGTTTTTCCAAACTTCTGAAACTGTTAACAAACTTCTGAAACTGTTAACAAACTTCTGAAACTGTTAACTATTGAAAACTTTGAAATACGTATTTTCGTTAATAACTATCTTTATCTGAATAGACTTGAAAAGAGCGTTATTGTGATTTTGGACTGTGAGTTGGAAACTTCAATACCATTTGCATCACAGTAGGTCATGACTATTGTGTTCCTATACTCTTTCTTTTTGCTCTTTTACAGGCATCTCATAATAGTCTTTGTATAATACGAGAGGATAATAGTCAAATAATGGACATAGGTCATGTAATGTATCAGTACAATATTGACTTAGATGTCTAGCTGAGCGCTGAGTTTTTGCTAAAAAGATTGGCGACAGAAAAAGTGTTCTCAAATTTCATAAAAAAGGTGTTCCCAAGTGATAGAATAAAACTGCTGACTTTTGGGTTAAATATTGGTTTCATAGAACTAAAAAAAAATTTGAAAAAATATAAAAAGTTAACAGGGTCAAGTGGCTTCAATCATCTTTATTGAGTACTGAGAGTTTAAAATTGAATGATCAATTTACAGAAACCAGTGATTTTCTCCAGCAACCCCGACAACAATTTCGTAAATTCGACAAGGGTCCGCTTAAGTTCAAAAACCCACAATTAAAAATTTGTGACTTAGGGCCCTACATAGTGCCCCAAGTACATATTGAGAATTCATTTTCTGGGTACTTTTGACAAGTTAGATAATCTATTTAAATATTTGACCTTGCTTAATGCATAAAAGTTACCTATACAATATTAGCCATATTAGAAAATCCAGTGAGCAATGGCCAAAGATAACACATCGGTACTCCAAGGCATTAGCTGCGTACAGTGGTGGGTGGGATTCAGCCTGTTTGCACCGGTTCTATAGAGCCATCTCACGGAATTTTATGAGATCAGCGAACCGGTTAGCACTACTGGCTACTGTCAATGTTCCGTTTGTATCAGAACCGGCTGAAAAATATGACTTTTGTGGAAGAACCGGCTGACAAAAAATTTGAATCCCACCACTGGCTGCATAAGGTATAGCTGAGCACTAAGTTCGCTTGAAAGTGTTACAGAGGCAGACAAGCGTGGGGAATAAAGTGTTCCCGTATTTCATAAAAAGTGTTCCCATGAATTAAAGGAAAACATAAAAATATTTGGCTAAATATCAGGCTGAATGGAATTTTTTTAAAATAACAACAATCATGCCAACAAAGAAATTTAACAGAATACAATATATATACACTAAGTGTGCAGAAATGAATATCCAATATTATACCCATAAAATAATAATACAGTGCGGCTTTCCTATTCATTTCCAGAATACCGGTGCACCAGCCAATGCTAAATATGAATTACTTCCTGCATTGAACAATGAATTCAATATTTTAAATATGGGATTGAAATCCCCATAGAGGAGAACAATGTAATGCTTAGTAAAATCACAGCTTTCAAGCAGAAAATTGTTGTTCCTCGACCAATAGCCTACAGCAAAGCTTTTCAATCTTTTTGGGGTATAACGGAACCCCAATAAAACACTCCAGAGGCTTGAAAAACCCCTGTGCCATTGATTTTCTGACTATATTTGTTATCGTAGAATATGCCATAAAAAAAAAGTTGGGAAACAACAATTTGATGCAGAAGACCCAACATTTTAACAGACTATTAGAGATAATTACTCATTATAGGATTATATTCGAACTATATACATTATATACATATAATAATTTAGATCAGTGGATTTTTCAACTTTGTCGGTGGACCTGAACTCCAAAATAACATTCCAGAAACTCTGGAAACCTGTGTGCAATACCTTCTTTTATTGTTTGAATTGTATACTATAAATAAATATAAAAGCAAACCTAGTATTGCCAAAACAAGACCAGCAAGTCTGATAATAGTGCAAACCCAATAATCATTTTAAAATAAGCGTATTTAAACAATATACATACATTTATATAGACTCTCGGATTTAATATACAACTGTGAAACTCTTGGACTGTACTGGCGGTTAACACCACTGATATATACTCTCGAATTTGAATGTAAACTTGCAGACTGACTGGCGGAACGCTAATTGAAAATCACAGGCCTAAAGGTTGAAGCTTTAGACGAAACTGTATTGGAATCATTGGTTATATATCCCATGCTCACCACCTAACCCAGGGTGTAACAAATTGGCCAGGCAATGCTGAAATGGGAAGATTTCGGTACTTCCACAAATAGTACCTCCTTACGTATTGTTAAATACCAGAGGCTGCTTGTAACGGGCCTTTTTTAGAGCAAAGTGTTGCAAAGAGTCGTATATAAAATTACAATAATTGAGACAGACGGGTTACAATTTTCTATTCCGTTCAATTTCATTCAAAAGATAAATTTGCTTACTTATGCATTCTGTAACATCTTGCATTGCGCCGTCAACACAATCTGAAAATGTAGGAAAAAATAATCATTTTGAAAATGAAAATGGAAAATTAAATCTGATAATTCCTGATGTGACTCAATATAATAACAACATAATTATGGAAGTATTACTGTAGTCCGGGGGTATGCACTATGTAACAGGCTGTCTGCCGGCCCAACCAGATTTTCAGGCCACAACCCGACCCGCAAAGGCATTCAGTGTAGCCCTCAGGCATGAAATCCTAATCCAACCTTTTATGTTGGAAGGGTGCTCATATGGGTGAAATATATGATTTTTGCTTTTTTTCGCTGCATTAAATCTTCGTCACACTTTGGTATTACATTTTAACGCAAAACGTATTCTTAGCAATAAATTTCATACAGAATATTTGTCAAGCTAACTTTCAACAAACTCATAATTAAAATAGCCAAACTCCAATTAAAATAACTAGACTATACAGGTACAAAACACTGATTGTTGTTGATAGTATTGTATTAATATAACAGAACAACAAAATATGAAACAATATTGAGTTTATATTCCAATAATAATACTGACTTGGAACTTTAATTATAAAATTTTCCTTGCTGTGCGCTTTATTTTGTGGTATACTGTTGAGATGAATATGGTAACTGGTACCAGGTGCAACATCACTGGTATTAGTTCGACCATAACAATCATAGAAAAATTCCGCCTGCGAAAAATAAAAATAAAAAAGTATGTAATGTATAAAAAAACTTGTGAAAAAGGCAAATCAAAAATAACTTTCTGTACATTTGCAAGTTAAATGGAATTATAATTTATCCTGAATACAAGGAACAAATATATATCCCTCAGGCGCGACTCATCGTGCTATGCATTAGGAATAAGCTCGCCACCGCACATCTGATTACTCTGCATGGTTTCGCAGGTTTGAATCCCACGCAAGGATAGTTATGTGCACGAGGATTGCTGAACTCCTCGGTCCTCACCACCTAGGATGGTTCACGTAGCCGCTGGTCGGTTACGGCTTCCTCCACCATCAAGTCCATGTTTCCGAAAACAAATAACTAATCCCATACCCGACAGGGAATGGTAACCGGACGAGAGACATTGGTTCGCCATATGGTTAAGCAGTCTTATTGGCTGATGGTTAGATATGTAAATCCTATTCTAATGAAAGCAGAAAAAGCAGATAAATTATATGGCAAAATTTTTTTTTTATATAACAGTAGCTAGTGTGGATCAGAACATACCTTAAACCCTAGTCAAGTCAAGTACGTCAAGGGCTTTCAGAGTATTGGGTTCCAAAGTCGAGTCAAGTCTCACTAAATGTTAGTAAACTACAAATATGAGTGATTTAATTTTTTAAGTCAATATGTGTCTTTGATAAATGATGATTCGAGTCAAGTCTCAACAACACCCAGTAGCTAACAAATTCCCAATGAATAAACACTGATAAATGCTGCAATGTATATAAACAAGAGAGCAATGCTCAAATTTACGGAAACAAGAGGAAAACGCATTTTACAAAATCAGTAGTTTGACGACGAGATTACTGAAATTACAGAAATGAGCGAGCATTTTTAAATTTTAATGACGCCATCGCACAAAAATTAGAAAAAAAAGAAAATTCTGTAGAAATTTTTGAAATAAATAAAAGCAATAGCGACAACAACAATCTTAAACAACAGAAAATTTCAAAGCAATTGGTCCAGTAGTTAAAGGGAAAAGCGATTGATGAATAATGATAGAGTCTGCAATCAGTATGATTTTATACAGACGATCTCATTCGTCAAGAATCTAATGCAAAAACTATTTTAAAATAAGGCTATATTTTCAGGCAGTTGTTTTCCGTTTATTTTTTATTTTAAGAAAATTTACACACACTCACTAAGACGACTGATTGCTGAACAAAGTTACAGACGGCCACCACTGTAGTGTCAGGAGCAGTAGTCTACCGGTACCGCATAAACCCAAACGCGATATTTATGATTTTGACGGCGTCATCGCGCACAAAAAACGAATCACATAGAGTCCCAGAAATTTTTAAAATGAATGAAAGTAATAGCCTGCTGGCGAAAAATAACCTTTTAACCATTTAGAAATTCCGAAGCAATTGATCCAGTGGTTAATGAGAAGCAAGAAGCAAAAAAAAAATATATATATCCACAATAACAACAACATAATAACAAAATGATTAATATGTACAGATTTCCTTTTTTTTCACCAGAAACAGAAATGAGACGGTCAGTATAAAAAAAATATAAACTTACATTGGCATGCTTTGTTTCCACCAACACAGTATAAATGCCAAAACACTTGTTGAAAAACGTAAGATCACCTTTTCCGAGCGGTGTGATCAATAGGTGATATCCATGAGTTTTCTCCATACTCGCTGTTCAAAACAAATTAAAACTATTGTATAATATTGGTAAAGGTAAAACGACTACTCTGACGCCCACAAATTTCAGGTCAAACGTTATGAAATGTACAAGATGTCATATAAAAGTGTTCCTATAAAATAAATGAAAACATTAAAATTTGGGGTGAATATAGAGACCTAAAAATAAATAAAAGTAACATTCTTCTGGTTAAAATGGTAATGGGCTATTCCAAGTGACACTACAGGACAATTTCAGAAACTTTGCATGTTGTTGGATGCAATATATTCTCACATTTTCAGCTACATGTTTTGTTTCATTGTCCAGCCCATGGCGAGTTAGCCGCCGTAGTGAGTTGCCCTCCACCCTATGATATGACTGATATGTAAAGTGCTACTGCTTTGGTAAGAAAATAAATCTTTCTGGTTCAGAATCCCCTACCCGATAATCTTTTATTCAAGATCCTATCTGAAAATCTGAAACAATAAACTATGATCAATTTCAACAATGACTCACCATCTGCCCCAGGTAACCAGGAGAAATTCAACGCTAATTTTACATCACCAGTACCCGGATCAATGTATTTGTACCATTCCCGTTCCCTTGGCATATGCCTCGGTGCAGACGGTGTTCCATCTATTGTCTTGTTAGTGTCGGCACATTTTTCTATAAAAAATGCAAACTGTGGATCAACTCATTTCAGATAAAAAAAAATAGGGTGATTTAAAACTGTTTTTGCCTTTTGCTTCTAATTAGGTTTTGCACAGGCAATCAATTACTGATAAGTAACAAGCTACTTAGTTTTGGAAGGGCCCGTATGTTTCCGGTTTGGTATTGCCTACCCAATTTATGACACCATGGGTCACTTACACCCCTGAGTCGAGGAATATTTTTATACTATGCTTAAGCATGGCTTTTGCTCGATCCATACAAAAACATATACATGCAGCCATTGATATCTAAAAGTTGGTAAGAAGTTACTTTTATTTGAAAAGACCAGAAGGTTTCCGTTTAGGCATTGTCTTCCCAATTTATTACACTCTGGATGAGGTGGGGTTGCATGAAATTTTAACATGTGATGCCGACACAGTTAAGGTTAACGCTTTAACCCTGATATGGGCAAACTAAGGCCCACGGGTCAGATCTTTCCTGTTCGGTAATTCAATCTGGCCCGCCTAATGCTGTGACAACCAAACTAAAATTTGATGTTTTAGCTAAAAATACCTAAAGGAATTGCGATTATTGAAATTAGTTTCGTCACGAGGCTTATTGTTTTCCACTTTTGCTTTTGTAACACTGTAAATATTGTTCATAAAATGTAGCTTTTTACTTGATACTTATATGGCCCACCAGCCTAGGTGGGCAAAATTTTTGGCCCCTGGTCCAAAAACCTTGCTCACCCCTGCTCTAACTGATAGATCAACGGTTCCCAAAGGGTGCACTGTGAAAGTTAATAGAATTGTGTTCAATGTGTAAGATACACATTAAGGATTCAACGATCACCAAATTGAGTTTTATTTGAAAGCAGCATTTTTTTTATGCAATTGCGCTGTGAGTTTTTTCTCTGATAATTTGGCGCCGAACAAAAAGTTTGGGAACCGCTACTATAGACTATCACAATGCCTTAAAGTCATTAATAAACCCACCTGGGCCCTGCATGAAATTACTGCTTGATAATGAGCATTCCACAGGATATACTTTTTTATTAACAACAGAATATGTATTACAATCTTCAGCACATGGTTGTTTTGTCGGTCTGCCACCTGATAGGAAAAAAAAGAATTTTAGATTTTGATATATGCGATATTTTACATCAGGATAATCATTTAAAATGAATATCAAGCACAAGATACTGATTCAGGTTGACGCAAAAAAAATGAACTCGTAAATTTTCTTAATTACAGTACTACGTAAATAAAGAAAATTTATGTTTCAGTAATCAAGGACGCATTGCACGAAAGTTATGTTCGCTTTATAATATGCTCAAAATGTTTGATCTGTTTTTGGGTCACCCTGAATGAAATATTACACAGGAATGGCCAAATTGGAATGATATGTTATTTTGAATACATTCTGAGATATCATTTTTGAATATAGAATATTGAATATTATTCTAAACTGTGTAATTTTGGAAATTCATATAAAAAATTGAATTTTGAAATGCAGAATACTGTTTCGATTGATTTTCTACTTTGATACTGAAAAGCCACAAGCATCTTCCATCAAACAGGTTTAAACGCACAAATAAGCATAGAAATATATCATATTTTGGATTTTTCATAAACAAGTGTTGCTTTTTGAAAAAAAGGCAAAGTATTTACCGTCGACTTCACATTCTGTCAATAGATGAAGCTCTTCATTAGAACAACCTAAGTTAAAAAAATTTCAAAAAGTGAAATGTTTTCAAATGGTAATCATAATGAAGCTTACAACACACAAAGATATTTTCAAAATATTGAAAAATGAATTGGGAAAAGATTTAATTTCTGACTTTTATAAAAAACAAACGATTGAATCCCAGAGCGAGATTCCTTTTTGCCAGATAAAAAAAATAAATAATTTGAAATGTATTTGAAATCTTTTTCTCAAATTGATTATTTTACGCTTTCATTTCAACCACAGGGCTGTGTAAGCAGCAGCCAGCATGTGAAGAACATATAATTCCTATGACTGGAAAAATGGAGTTTGGCATTGACTATCTCATTTATTATACCCTGGGCGAGATGTTGCGCCAAAAATCTTCAACCACTGACAAAAACATAGTTAGCTTAATGCAATATTAAGTTTTCTCCAGTTGTTTCATACTGATTTATATTGACAATGATAGTAATAGACTAGATTCTTAAGGACCTACATGATTAATGACATTTACAGAGAAACCAGTACCTGGTATCTTTACAGTCAATGTTATACTTCCATCATGTATTCCATGTTCAAACTGAGGCAGACTATTGATATAAACCATAATTTCTGAGTCAGGAGTGATGCGTGTTCCCCTTGCCTTTCCAAAGCAGTCATTGTAATATATATCCTAAAATTTTATATTAAAAATAAAATGAATTCAGATTGCTAGCAAATTATTAGGAATCAACAGTTGGCGCAACATGCTTATCGTTAGGAATACGTTCACACTTCTGAATACCCTGTTTGAGTTTGCAGGTTCCAATCCTGTGGGGATAATTATAGGCAAGATGATTGCTGGACTCCTGGCTGCCGTAAAATGGTTAATGTAACCGCTGGTCAGCTATGGCCTCACCCACCCCCACACCAAGTTCATGCATCTGAAACAAATAACTGGCTAACTAATCCCAAACCTAACATGGACTGGTAACCGGACAAAAAACGTGGTATGCTATAGGATTAGGTTATCTAATTTCCTTTCCTCTTCCCAGGTATAAATATGAAAGTATAATTCTAATTCAAATATATCCAATAACAATATGCGCTCATAAAGGATAAGCAAAACCGTATATTTAGTAATTTAATTTATATAATGTTTTGAATTAAATCATTTTATTCGAAGGTGTAGCATTTTATGGTGTAAAAATTTTATAACAAAGTTTGCTTCACTTTTGGGTAACTTCAATGCTTTCTGCAGTAATGATTAATTAATAAATTAGTTATATTAGCCTGGATTTGAGATAGTAAATACTCATAATAATGAATGAAATATTTGAATGGGTATTCTGAAACATCCTCACGTAGTAGATTCTTTAAAATTTTGAATTTGTTTTAAATTTAAACATGTTTTGATCTCCAGGTACTACATGTTAATCTTATTTAGAGCTAGGAGTGCAATATAATAAATATGTTATAACATTTTCAACTGAAGAAAAAACTCGAGTCACAGAAGCAAATTTACCCCACTGACTCTACCAAATCACAGAATAGGAAAAGTATAAATTCATGTGAGAATATATCACAAGAAAAAAAAAATCTCGATGTTAGCTGGTACAATGACATAATAATTATGATAATAATTATATAAGAACTACTAATTCATTACATGTCCGTTGGCATGAAAATCCATTTTTGTTGTTATATTGTAGCAGGCTGAATAAGAATATATTCCATCGGTAATATTAATCACATATCCTTTTGTTTTTTCCAATGACACTAAAAATAATACAGGTGTAATAATAAATTAAAGTATTCTGAATTCTTGTTCCTAAGAACTCATACAATCAGAAGAAAAATTTGGCCCCAGGCATTAATTCTATTTAATCTGGAAACATTTATTTCACAAAACGTTGAATGACTAATAGCTAAGGCAGAAACGTGAGATATACTAAAAATATTTTAATACCGGCATAATGTAATTGCCACTTTTTAACAGATAGATTAACACCTTAAAAATGAAGTGTTTTGTTAAAATAAGGATTAAATAAAAATTTTGAGATATATTTGAAATTAATCTCAAGCATATAATAGTCCTAATCCCTATTTTCATAATGATAAATAGCATCACAATTTGATAGGAATAATTCCTTTATAATGTACAAACTTACATAATGGTACCAATAAGATCAGATCAATAACACAAAAATTAATCCATTTTCTAACCTTATAGTTGACACAGAAACTGTTGATAGTTTCGATAAAAAAGCAACAAGCACTTTTAAAACCAATCAAGTGTGAACTATATATAAAGTGAACAGCAGGTGTTTAATTTATCATGATTCATGTATGGAAAATGATCATAGTTTTGATAAAAAAACAACATGCACTTCTAATAAAACCAATCAAGTGTGAACTATATATATACAGTGAACAGTGGGTGATAGATTTATCATGATTCATGTATGGCCCAATGGAATACTAAACCAAGGTGTTCGAAAATGTTTCTTGTATATACCGTAAATAGTAAATATACAGTGATCTACATAAACTCCAATAATATACTTGTAAAAAATGTACAGAGAATATGTAAGCCTATAGCTAACATGGTTTTCTTTCAACATTATGTAAGGAAAACAGGACACAACATAAATTCTAGCACTAATTCATTTATAAACAAATTGACCACTGAGATAAAACATGCCGAGCAAATATTTCAATATGTCTATAGTCTGTAAAGATGACTGAAACAAACATGCTACTATTCTAAATACATTTTAAAATAATTCCGGGTGTTCATTAATGAGTCTTCACTTCATTTAATATGCATAAAAAAAATTAAGACTTCAAGAAAACCATATATACCAAATATACAATATTAGGTTATATACCACACAAAACAATCTGCAATCTCAAAATATGGTATGCCGTATATGTATATTCAAGGGTTTTTGAAAAGCAAGGAAGTTGAGGTGAACACAAAACAGCAATTTGATTAGTTGTCTGGTATTTATATCATTCAGAGATTAAATTTCACACCTTTTTGACCATACTTTCAGACTTTGCATAAAATGGCTTTAATAAAAATAAAACGATTTCAAATCCAAAATTTGTATTAGATTTAATTTTGATCAGATTCAAATATTCGATTCATTTCGGACATCCTTGTTACAATGTTTATGATTACACACAATGCAAATTGACTTGCAACTTGCAGAAAAAATATACAAAAATTGAGTAATATATTATACCATTATCAACAGGGGACCATTGAACATGCAGAGCGAGACGCACCCGTCCCTCATTCTCATCGACATATCTTTCTAAGAAAACTTCCTCGATTTCTGGACTTTGAGCTGTGGAATCTGCAATTTCAAGCTTGCCACATTCTAAAAACAATGACAAGAAAATAAAACAATCCATCTAAAAAAATAGATCCAAGATCCTTAAATACAAGTAGTGTTTGTAGTAATATACCAAACTCAAATATATTTAAATTAGTAACAATACCTATAGAAAAAAAATTGTCTTCAAGGTAGTAAATAAATCAATAATGTTATCAAGTAATAAACTAGAATATCGGTTAGAAACCGAAGACTTATCGATCGAAGGTTAGGGGATCCCCCAAAACATTGGTCTCACTCCATAGTGACACCGTATGTCCCATCACTAATTAATTAATAACTCGCTAATTATGAGACATAATCCATCCAAAATCACTAGGCTTCTGATCCGAGCTATGATGAATGCACATGCAAAATTTGGAGCAGATTCAACCTCGCTTCCGTGAGATATCGCGTGCATCTAACACACAGACATACACACATACAAATACCTATCAACATACTTACCGATCTTAAGATCGATAAGTAATAAGAAAAACATAACTTCTTTCCATGAAATAGAAAGTTTATTTTTTATCTTTATCTTAATTTTTATATATTTTTCAAAACACTGACTTTATTATGACAAATTTATCTTGTAAATAATTTAGCCATACCAAAAGATATAGACATGTTGTTTTTGGCTTTTTTCTCTAAAAGTGGATTTTAATAATAGTAACCAAGCTTGGAATGGGCCTAATAATGATTTATGGATCATGTTGTTTTTAAGGAGGCCTTAATCTTATTTCAAAGCAGTAAAGGGGAATTTATCTATCAAGGAATCAACATGGTCAGATATACTACACCTAAAGAGAATTTCACTTTTGAAACGAGGGTGTTTGTGCATAAAAACAGAAAATGGAATGTTTTGCTTCTTCAGATTTCTTGACTTAGTTGCACAGTAAACAATTCCAACAAAATAATATGTTATTGTAAACTATTATATGTATGAATTTGAATGAAAATAAGTTTCAAAACAAGAATTAACTTTATACCAATATGCTAAGAAGTGTAAAATTTTCTACAAGAAAGTGGAATCATCCTCAAAATTACCGAAGATAATGAAGGAAAGTATGTATTTACATATGTACATTTTATGATGTCACAATTACATAGCCTAGTCTTTTTAATAAATAATAGCTTCCTTCAGACATAATTAAAATTATTACAACCTAGAGCACCAGATATGTATCAAATATACGGACACAAAATTTAAATCGCCACATAGTCACTTGATTTTCAAACACCAAAATTCGAGCGTCTTTTCGCGAAAGACAGTAAGAATTAAAAAAAAGTCAACATGATCTATAAATCAATTTGGGTACAATAGTACCATGAAGTCTAATCAAATATAAACGACTCTAAAGAGAGTGTAAAAATGTATGTATAAAGCTTGACAGCTTAGAAGGATTGCTTGTTGTTAAATATAGCTAGCTAAAGATTATAAATATAAAAAACCTACCTTCAATAGAACAAAACATTGTTCGATTCTTTCTAGCAGAGATATGTGTACAATCCGATATGCAATCATGATGGCCAATCTTAACTTCTAAATCAGATGCTTTAATTGTTTTTGTCTTAGATCCATAGCACCAAGAAACAAGCACAATCAGGAAATAGCAAAGGTATATTGCCCCCTGTTTCTTCATTGTTATTAGCCTTATACCAACTGTGTGTTCCTCGTTTGGGTGTATTACGGGTCTCTTTAATTTTTAAAATTTTTTTTTTATAGCTAAAATATCCACCTCACATATTTGGCTACAAGATAGTTTTAAAAACTGAAACAGATAGACATTTTATTATTAAAGTTTGACGCATCGTGCTGAGCGCTAGGAATACGCTCGGCACCACATCTCTGATTACCCTGCGTGGGAATTCTGTGGGGAATAATTATGTGCAAGAGGATTACTGGACAGGGTGGTTCACATAACCACTGGTCAATTACAGCTTCCTCCACTATCAGGTCTATGCACCTAAAACAAATAACTGGATAACTAACCCCATATCCGACATGGATTGGTAATATGACAAGAGGCCGTGATTCGCCATATGATAAAGTCGTCCCATTGGCTTTCCTCTCCCCCCAGAGAAATATGTAAATCCTATGGTATCGTATTCAAGTGACAATGTATGGTGTGTATGCCAACAACAACTAATGAATGTTGAAATTTCTTTTTCTGTAAGGTTGATTGATAAGAAAGCAACAAAAATAAACAAAATGAAACAGATGAAAAAAAAGAGAAAAGCATAAAGAAATCGTGGTAAGATTATAAAAATAAAATGAAATTTGAATGGTTAGCATGCCGGGCTCCTTTCTTCAACATAATGCCATGAATATATATTTTTGTGACATGTAGCATTAAAAAATTAAGCATTGACTGCATTGCATATGGCTTTGATTGAACCTTTTCCAGATTTTAACACACTAGTATAAACACACTATTCATTTAGTTATCATATGTAACCATTAACCACTGTAACCAGTGTTTGATATCGCTTACCGCTAGTACCGGTATATATATATCTCTAATGAAGTACGGTAATCTTTATTTTTGTCCACAGTATCATATTACTAAAAGCTGAAACTTTTGAAAATTTCGCACATGTTACATATGTCTCTCACACTGGAAAATTTTGTCCACCAATTATATAGCCCAGGGGAGCCAACGCGTCGATCGCGATCAACCGGTCGATCGCCACGTCTCAAGCAGTCGATTGCGTTTGATGTTGAGTGAATTCCAATGAAATACCCCCAAAATTTGCTTTGAATCAGTTTTGTGTTTTAACACAGGAAGAATACAGTACTGTGTCTGTACATGCGAAAACACAATATATATACACATACAGTATTTGAGTCTGGGCAAGCCCGATAAAGCATATTATTACGTAACAAATGCAAGTTTTGCCGCTGCCAAGGTTCAGAAATGAAGTGCCAAATATCGCGTGTCTTGACTGACGAACGATCCTGCAATAACTTCTGCAATATGCGAAAATTATTATCTCACTCCAAGAGTAGAGTGATAAATTGTATTCGCAAAGGTAGCAGTGGCATCAAAATGCCCAAATTTTTTCAATTCTATGCAAGCGAACAATCGCACTACAAGGAAATTGTAACTTAGATACTGAAGTTTCAGCAGTCATGTAACATTCTTCAAGGTTTGAGAATATTTATTTTTCACTGTTCAAATAATACATGAATACTTGGCAAGGTTTCTTGAAGAATTATCAACACTTACAATAAAAAAATTAGGCACGCCTAATATCTGAATTGTATGAATTGAATAAATCTTAAATAAATGATGAAAATGATTCGGTTTTGTGCAGGACCTTATTACCGATCAGTTGATCGCGAGCTATTTTGCAGGTTGGCCACCCCTGATATAGCCTATGCAAATTCTATTTTACTTCTATTATACATTAAAATGAAATTTAAATTTAACCCTTTCCGTGCGGTGCGCATAAACCAACGACAAAAGTCGCTAGATTGCGGCGGGTACGTTGATGTACTCCACTGTTTTATTCAGCAATCGGTCGCAAACTGTTGGTCTAATTTTTCCGGGTTTTAGTTTATTGATAAGAAGTCTTCTTCGAGGTTAACATAAGCGATGGTAAATCTCGCTTTCGTTTACGACGCGAATTTTATTTACGGCGGAACGAGTGTTTTTGAAATTTATGCAAATTTCGGTGTTTTTTGGGTGGTAATAGAAGACATATTATTCCTTCCATCTACCAAAGTATTTTGAGTTAGATCACGAAATTGCTACAGCAATATTATGCTATTGTTTGCCAACCTCGAAGCGGTAACAGTAAAGGATTTAGCGAATATTTTTATTTTTTATCACGGTTTGAAGTTTCAACTCCCAAGAAAAAAATGCCTTTTTTCTATCCGGTTTGTGACTCAGACCACCACTTTTAAAAAAACTTTTTTTTTAATCGTCAATTGCAAGCTCTTCAAATAAGCTTTCCAACGAGCCATCAGTGGGCAGCAGAGGATCATTAGTTTTTCGTTAGTCGATCGATTAGTTGTGGGGGTACAAAAGCATAAAATCGGCATAGCAAATACGATTATTTAATAAAAAATAAAAATTGCATGGAAAGGGTTAAAATACAAAATATTGAACTTCCAACCCTTAATAAACAAAGGTAAAAATATAAATTACTTCATAATAACATTCTGTCATGAATTTATCAATTCATTCATACAATTCCGTTCATTAATTGAAAATTTTTGTAAAGTAATCATTTTTAGATAACCTACTACTATCATATTCCTTCAAATAACACTAGGAAACGATTTACACAAAACAACATGACAAGTAAAAAGCTGACAATGGCATCACAGGATGTTATTCCAATAGTATACAGTAAAGGTTCATGAGTAAAAAAACTATGTCTGACTCGAATGATTGGTTGTTTGAGTTATGTCATCATGTCATGAACAACTTTTCACAGACAATGAGTAATAAATACCTTTGGCTAACTAAAGCTCTAGGCTAAAGATGGAGAAATTAGATCAAGAAACAATCAAATTCTTTTAGTGTATTCAAGGGAAAAAAATAATATCATATAATAAAAAATTTTGCATAAGAATTCATATATACATAAGATATAAGATAGCCAGTTTTACATGGGCTCATAATCTGGTTTCTAACAGTATGTCCATATAAATGTATTACCGGTACATTAATACTAAATAAACAATATTACTAAAACTACACCAAATAAGAAGAAATATTCCCTCCCTCAAAACAACAAATTTCCTCTCCAGTTAGGAAATTTTGATATAACAAATTTCACACAAATTACAGTACTTTCCTAAATCAGCAATATAACATTTGAAGGTATAATTGTTTTGGGAATGAATAAAAAAAACATTCTAGATAGAAGAATAGTTACTGCAATTAAATTTGTATGTGAAAGCCATTTTCCACTTTTTTAGCCACTTGTGATATTGGCTTTTGGTAATATTATTTATGGAAAAAAAAATTGAAATTCCATTTTCCAACTTTCAAACTTTAAGACCTAGAATATATCAAAATATCTAATTTACGATCAAAAGTACTGCCCTAAGCTTGGGGTTGGGTGTGGAACTAGATCAGGGTTGGGCAAGGTTTTTGAACCAGGGGCCAAAAATTTTACCCACCCAGACTGGCTGGCCATGTGAGAGTGATGTAAAAGATTCAATTTCATGAACAATATTTACAATGTTACAAAAGCAAAAATGGAAAAAAATAGGCCTCTGCCAAAACTAAATTTCATCACAATCTCAACAAATTACTTGATCTATTTTTTAGCCGAAACATTAAAATTTGGTTTTAGTTTGGGGTGGTAGCGTCAGGCGGGCCAGATTGAAATACTCAACAAACTGGATTTTGCCTGGGGGCCGTAGTTTGTCAATGTAAGATCTAGATCAGGGGTTCCCAAGCTTTTTTCAGAACAACCCCAAAGACAACTTCCAAGTGTCCAGTACGACCCCAGGTCAATATATATATTTTTCATATATTTTTCAACTCCAGTAGAGCTTCTTTCACTGAACTTTAGAGTTTGATCATGTGGTGGTATTAAGTAAAATAAGCTAAAACCAAACAGTGATGTTACAATAAGCACCTACATTTTCTGTAGCATAAGCATAGAGCGATGACTATGGGCCTGTTTTACAGTAAGCCATGGTACAAACTGCTAAATTCAACATGGTTTGTCAAATCTTAGATGATTTGTACATGTACATCCATCCTCTACAATACCTCAGTGACCCCATGACCTGTTTGCGACCCCTCCTATATATCATTCCGACATAATTTGGGGTCGCGGAAACCCTGATCTGGATGAATAGGTTGAAATAAATTGGATCTAGACTGGAATTCGTAACTTTTTGAAACATGTTTTTTTGCATCAAAATCACCAACAACCTACTCCGTCAAACTTCTGGCTCCATTAAAACAAGGACAGGTTTGCTGACAAGCAAGACATTCCAAGAGCGGGTTTCATGGAAATCCCCCCAAATCCCACCACTGCTCTAGGCCCTAACACTTATTACAGTACGGCACAGTTCTCAGATTCCAAGAATAGCCCCCACATTCAAAGAGAGTGAGTGCAAACTCCTCCTTTTACAAAACAGTCTAGGCCTCCATATATCCACAAACCGGCACTGCAGCACTGTGCAATAAGCTAAAAAAAGTTTACATTAGAATTTACAAAATACATAAAAATCAATGTTAGAATAGGGCTGGGTAAAATATTCAAATATTGTATTGAATATCAAAATATTATAATAGCGGTTTCCTATCCTGATGTCTGGTAACACATGACTTAGACACGGCACAACACTTGTGTGTCGCTGAATCAAACGTTTGGACTACACAACGCACTTGCGGATTTCTGGCAAACACACAAGAATCTACACATACTTTTCATTAATAAAGTAACATTTCTACAATTTCCTAACGAATATATTAATTTGAATATGTTGAAATGCCATTTGAGTCAATTTTATCAGATTTTTCAACCGATTTGCAGTGATGACATACCATAAAAACGTGGCGATAAGAACGATCATAGCCGACAAGAAAGGAGATAATTAAAATGAAACTATTTTGGAAATTGGGGTTGCAAATTATTCCTATAACGCCGATGTCGAGAGCGGAAGACTTGATACATGCATGATAAAAAGAACTGACATTTGTATGTAGATGGCCGGAACAATCACGCCACAATCAGGAAAGATACTTTAGCCTATATAAAATACTAAAAATTTTATAAGACCTCTTATAAACTCAT